ATGAAGGTTTGCTCATGTCACCCAGCCTGGAGTGCAATGGCACAATCTCCGTTCACTGCATCCTTCACCTCCTGGGTTCAAGTGATTCTCCAGCCTCAGCCTCCAAAGTAGTTGGGATTTTAGGTGCCTGCCACACGCCCAGCTAATTTTTATATTTTTAGTAGAGATGGGGATTTCAGTGTGTTGGCCAGCCTGCTTGCTCTCAAACTCCTGACCTCAGATGATCTGCCTGCCTCAGCCTCCCAAAGTGCTGGGATTATAGGCGTGAGCCACCATGCCTGGCCTACGTGGCGACTTTTAACTGCTTACAGTAAAATAAGAGAGGAAAGAGATTCCTTTCCTCTCTTATTTTATCTTTTATAAATTCTGAAAGAATTTATGACTAAAAGGAAAGCAGAGCAAAAAGATTCAGAAAATTTGTAGGCTGGCCACATGGTAGAGAATGAAAGAACATTTTCAGCCGAGAAAACTGAGGATGTGACCAAGCTACCAATCGATAAGAAACGTAGTACACCTGGAACAAAGCCAGAGGCTATTCATCAGAACAAGGAAGAAGAACTCCAAAGGCATTTCAGAGATCTTCAAGGCCGCCCCTTCCACTACTGGCCCAGAGCTCTAAGAGGGCAGAATGGGTTGGAATGACCAGCTCCCGCCCAGGGCTGCCTTGGGTCTCTGCTTCCCACATTCTGGTGCAGCACTCCTCAGCTATCCTAGCTGTGGTTCAAGTGGCCCCAGGTGTGATGTAAAGGTAGAAGTCATAAACCTTGGCGGCATCCACATCGCACTAATTCTGCAGGTGTGCAGAGTGCAAAAGCTGAGGGGACATGCCTTCTGCCTTCTTCCACCTATATTTCAAAGGATGCTGTGAACAGCCACCACCGAGAGCCCCTAGCAGAGCAGTGTCTAGTGAAGCTGCAAGGGTGGGGGCCACTGCCAAGACCCCAGAACAGTAGAGCTACCATAGTGTAATGCCAGCTTGGGAGACTGCAGGCATGAGACTCACACCTGTGAGAACTGCCACACAGGCAGAGCCCAGCAAAACCATAGGGGCGGGGCTGTCTGAAGCTTAGGGGGTCCAAATGCCATAGTGTGTCCAGGAGGTGGCACATGGAGTAAGAAATCATTCTGAAGGTTTAAGGTTTAAGATTTTCCTTGTTGGGTTTTGCACTTATTTGGGGCCAGTTACTCTTTTTTTCTCTTGCTTCTTTTTCCTTTTAGAATGGGAATGTCTGTCCTATGTCTGTTCCACTTTTGTAGTTTAGAAGTATATAACTTGTTTTGATTTTATAGGCTCACAGCCAGAGAGTGTGAGTGATTTAGATGAGACCATAGAGTGGTCGAAATCACTCTCCCATAGAGTGATTTAGATGAGACCATGGACTTTGGACTTTTGAGTTGATGCTGGAACTGGTTAAGACTTTGGGGGTTGCCTAAGTGTGGTGGTTCATGCCTGCAATCCCAGTGCTTTGGGAGGACGAGGTGAGAGGATTGCTTGAACCCAGGAGTTCAAGACCAGCCTGGGCAATGTAGTGAGACCTGTCTCTACAAAAAGTAAAAATAAAAAATTAGCCAGGCATTGTGGCATGTGCCTGTAGTTCTAGCTGCTCAGGAGACTGAGAGGATCACTTGCCCCAGGAGTCTGAGGCTGCAGTGAGCTATGGTTGTGCCACTGTATTCCAGCCTGGGCAACAGAGTGAGACTCTGCTTCTACAAATAAAGTAAACTTAGCTGGACATGGTGGTACACATCTGTAGTCCTAGCTATTCAGGAGGCTGAGACAGGAGGATCACTTGAGCCCAGGAGTTTGAGACTACAGTGAGCTATGATCATGCCACTGCATTCCAGCCTGCTGGGTGGTAGAGTGAAATCCCATCTTTAAAAAAAAAAAACAAAAAACAAAAAACAAAACAAACAAAAAAAACCTGGGGCTATTGGGATGAATTTTGCATGTGACAAGAACATGCATATTTTGGGGGCTAGAGCAGAATCAGAATGCTATGGCTTGAATGCATCCCTCAAATTTCATGTGCTGGAAACTTAATCTCCAAATTCATATGTTGATGGAATTGGAGGTGAGGCCTGTGGGAGGTAACTAGAATTAGATAAAGTCATCAGGGTGGGGCTCCTATGATGAGACTGGTGGCTTACAAGAGGAAGAGAGACCTGAGCTGACATGCTTTTGCCTCCTTGCCATATGATGCCCTCTGCTATGTTATGGCATAGCAAGAAGGTCCTTACCAGATACCAGCAGCATGCTCTTGGACTTCCCTGCCTCCAGAACCATGAGCTATTATGTTTCTTTTTTTTTTTTTTTTTTTCCTACGATTTTAAAAAACATATTCATTTAAGATCATAAACTCAACTGTAGCTGTAGCCCACAAAATTTTTTTTTATAATAAGAAAAAGAATAAAGAAGAGGCAGAAAGAGAAAGAGGAAGAGGGAGAGAGGATGGGGGTATTGCTTTATTGCCCAGGCTAGAATGCAGTCTAAATATGGGTATGCCTATAATTGTGCTTAATAATGGAGACATGAAAGAAAATGAGGGAAGAGAATAACAAACAAGGAGCCAACCAACATTTCATTTAAACTTCTAAGTTGATATGATGTGGTACTGATAAGAGTGTATATTTTGTGTATTTAAAGTGGAGAGTTCTATAAATGTTAATTACGTTTACTTGTTCCAGATCTGAGTTCAAGTCCTGGATATCGTTGTTAATTTTCTGTCTCATCGATCTGTCTAATATTAATGTCGAAGTCTCCCACTATTATTGTGTGGGAGTCTAAGTCTCTTTATTAGTCTTGTATGTCTGGGTATTCCTGTATTGGGCGTGTATATATTTAGGATCTTTAGCTTTTCTTATTGTTGCATTGATCCTTTTATCGTTATATAATGTCCTTCTTTGCTTCTTTTGATCTTTGTTGCTTTAATGACTATTTTATCAGAGGCAAAAATTGTAACTTCTGCTTTTTATTTATGTATTTTAGTTCTCTGTTTGGTTGGTAAATCTTTCTCCATCCCTTGTTTTGAGTCTTTGTGTATCCTTGAATATGAGATAGGTCTGGATGCAGCATACTAATGGGTTTTAGTTTTTTATTCAAATTGCCTGTCTGTCTTTGGATTGGGGGATTTAGTCAATTTAAATTTAGAATTAATAATGATATATGTGAGTTTAATACTGCTATTTAATATTAGCTGGCTATTTTGCCCATTAGTTGATGTAAATTCTTCATTATATTGATGCTCTTTTTGGTATTTTTTAGAAAGGCTGATACTGTTTGTTCCTTTCTATGTGTAGTGGTTCTTTCAGAAGCTCTTGTAAAGCAGGCCTGGTGGTGATGAAATCTCTGAGTGCTTGCTTGTTCATGAAAAACTTTATTTTTCCTTCACTTAAGAAGCTTAGTTTGGCTGGATGTGAAATTCTTGGTTGAAAGTTCTTTTCTTTAAGGAAGTTGAATATTGGTCTCCACTCTCTTCTGGCTTGTAGGGTTTCTGCTGAGAGATCTGCTGTAAGTCTGATAGACTTCCCTTTGTGGGTAACCTGACCTTTCTCTCTGGCTGCCCTTAGTATTTTCTCCTTCATTTCAACCCCGGTGAATCTGACGATTATGTGCCTTGGAGTTGCTCTTCTTGAGGAATATCTTTGTGGTGTTCTCTGTATTACCTGGAGTTGAATATTATCCTGCCTTACTAGGTAAGGAAAATTTTCCTGAATAATATCCTGAAGCGTATTTTCCAGCTTGGATTCATTCTCTTCGTCACATTCAGGTACACCTATCAAGCATAGATTAGGTCTTTTCACATAGTCCCATATTTCCTGGACACTTTGCTCGTTCCTTTTTATCCTTTTTTCTCTAATCTTGTCTTCTTGTTTCATTTCATTGAATTGGTCTTCGACCTCTGATATCCTTTCTTCTGCTTGATCAATTCGGCTGTTAAAACTCGTGCATACTTCACGTAGTTCTCATATTGTGTTTTTCAGCTCCATCAATTCACTTATATTCCTCTCTAAATTGTGTATTCTTGTTAAAATTTCGTCAAACCTTTTTTCAAAATCCTTTGTTTCTTTAGATTGGGTTTGAACAAGATCTTTTAATTCACAGACGTTTCTCATTATCCACATTTTGAAGCCTGCTTCTGTAATTGGAACACACTCGTTCTCCATCAAGCCTTGTTCCGTTGCTGATGAGGAACTGTGATCCCCTGCTGAGGGAGAGGCATTCTGATCTTGGGTAGTCTCAGCCTTTTTTGGCTGTTTTCTTCCCTTCGTTGTAGATTTACCCATCTGTGGTCTTTATAATTACCATCTTTGTAATTGGGTTTCTGAGTGGACGTCCAACTTATTGATTCTCAGCGCCGAAATCTGAGCAACCCACTGCGCTGACTGAATCAGCGGCGTTAAGATTGACGGTGCTTTTCTGACTCTGCACCAAGAACCGATGCTCCAAGGTGTCGGCAAAACCGCCTCGCCGGTCACAAGAGTCGCGCTGGCGACCCGTGGGGCTCCTCCGCTGGGAATCTCCTGGTGCGTGAGCAACAAGAATTCATGTGAAGGTGTGGTGTCCTCTCGTTCTTTGTGCTTTCACTGGGAGCTACAATCCCGAGCTGCTAGTGATCAGCCATCTTGGATCTCTCTACTATTATGTTTCTTTTATAAATTACCCATTCTGTGGTATTCTGTTACAACAAGAGAAAATCAACTGAGATAATATACATGGAATCATACAATAAGTTTGTGCTTTTGTATGCTTGACTTTTTTACTCAACATTGTAGTTGTGAGATTCACCCAGTTTATTAAGCATTGCTGTACCCCTTTTCCACTGGGGCGGTGTTCTATCATGCTTGGGTCTTACTTTATAAAAGTGACTGAGTGATATTTTATTCTAATATTATTTTGGGAAAGTTTTTGTAGTTCACAGTTTCCCTGCAAACAAGAGGCAGAGCACATCATGCAGGGCCACACAAAACTATCATCCAGGGACCAGGCAGCAGAAAGCAAGCGGGGACTGGGACTGTGCCTTTATGAAAAAGAGTAGTGGGAGAGTAACTGGGTGAGGACATCCACTAATGGGCAGGAAGTGAAATTACATGTTAGAGTTTATAGCTGAGGGGTTTATAATATGAGTTTCCCATGCCTGAGAAAGCTGACTTGCAAGAAAATGAGATAAACAGCTTTGGCCATTAGTGTGGCCCTGTGATAAATGAATGCCAGATAGACAAACAGAAAACCTAAGAAAAGATAGTGGGGGCCGGGCGCGGTGGCGCAAGCCTGTAATCCCAACACTTTGGGAGGCCGAGGCAGGTGGATCACGAGGTCCAGAGATCGAGACCATCCCGGTCAACATGGTGAAACCCCATCTCTACTAAAAATACAAAAATTAGCCAGATGTTGTGGTGGGCACCTGTAATCCCAGCTACTCAGGAGGCTGAGACAGGAGAATTGCCTGAACCCAGGAGGCGGAGGTTGCGGTGAGCCAGGATCACGCCATTGCACTCCAGCCTGGGTAACAAGAGCGAAACTCCATCTCAGAAAAGAAAAGAAAAGAAAAAAGAAAGTGGGAACAAGTGTTCCATTGTGTGAATACAGCACAATTTGTTTATCCATTATTGAGGAGGATTTAGGTAGTATCCAGTTTGGGACTATGATGAATATTCTAGTATTGCTCCTATGACCATTCTAGCACTTTGTTTTTGGAACACACGAATGCACTTCTGTTGATTATATGCCTAGAAGTAAAATTGTTGAATTATAGAGTATTCACACAGTCAGCTTTAGTGGCTACTGCTAAACAATTTTCTACAGTAGTTTGCACCAATCTAATCACCAGTAGTGCACAGAAGCTCCTTTTACTCCACATTTTTCCAACACTTGGTGTTTTTCTTCTTTTCGATTAGTCATTTAGCAATCAAACCTATTGTTTAAATTTTGATATCCCCAGTGACTAACTAAATGGAGTACTTTCCATATGCTTTTTGGACAAATATTTTTTCTTGTGAAATGTCTTTTCAAGTTATTTTGCCCATTTTCTACTGTGTTCTGTCTTTTTCTTATTGATTTGTAGAAATTCCCTACATATTGGGCTGGGCGCGGTGGCTCAAGCCTGTAATCCCAGCACTTTGGGAGGCCGAGGCGGGTGGATCACGAGGTCAAGAGATCGAGACCATCCTGGTCAACATGGTGAAACCCTGTCTCTACTAAAAATACAAAAAAATTAGCTGGGCATGGTGGTGCGTGCCTGTAATCCCAGCTACTCAGGAGGCTGAGGCAGGAGAATTGCCTGAACCCAGGAGGCAGAGGTTGCGGTGAGCCGAGATCGCGCCATTGCACTCCAGCCTGGGTAACAAGAGCGAAACTCCGTCTCAAAAAAAAAAAAAAAAAAAAAAAAAGAAATTCCCTACATATTGTGGATATGAATCCCACTTTTTGGGTTACTTCTTCCTCCCTCCCTCTTCCCTTTCCTCCCTCCCTCCCTCCCTCCCTCTCTCTCCCTCTCCCTCCCTCTCTCTCCCTCTCCCTCCGTCTCCCTCCCTCTCCCTCCGTCTCTCTCCCTCTCTCTCCCTCCCTCCCTCTCTCTCCCTCTCTCTCTCCTTTCTTTCTTTTCTTTTCTTTTTTTCCAGAGTTTTCCTCTGTCGCCCAGGCTGGAGTGCAATGGCACTATCTGAGCTCACAGCAACGTCTGCCTCCCAGGTTTAAGGGATTCTCATGTTTCAGCCTTCTGAGTAGCTAAGATTACAGGTACATGCCACCATGCTCACCTAATTTTTTTGTATACAAAATAATTTTTGGTAGAGACAGGGTTTTGCCATGTTGGCCAGGCTGGTCTTGGACTCCTGGCCTCAACTTTGGCCCACCTTGGCATCCCAAAGTGCCAGGATTACAGGTGTGAGCCAGCACACTCAGCCCACCTTTCACTTTCTTAGTGGTGTCTTTTGAACAACAGAGGTTCTTAATTTTAATATAGTTCAATTTCATCATTCCCTTTATGCTTAGTTCTTCTATATCCTGTTTAAGAATTTTCGCAAAGTCATGCAGATATCCCCCCGAATTTTTTTCTAAAAGTTGCTTAATATTAGATCAATGAATTGAGTAATTGACTCCATTTTTCAGTCATTCAACAAACGTTTCCCTGGGGTTTTGATAACCTGAATCGTGTTTGTTGCTGGGGAGGAAGCAAACTATCGAAGGTATACAAAGATGGCAAATCTAAGGGCCTAGAGCTTGCCACGCAGAAGGGGGGATGGCTCCCTGAATGGTGGGGAAGGTAATTGTTGACAGCTGCCCTCACCACATGAGCAGCAGGGTAGCAACTCTTTTTATCGTTTTTAAATTTACTGTTTTTCTAGTCTGAGGGTAACTTTTTAAATTTCTTTCCACTCTCCCATGATCCTAGGAAGTAGGAACTGTCATTATTTCCCCCCACTTTATAACGAGGAATCAGTAAAGACAGGGAAAATAACCAAATGACATGTAAGGAGGTGGGGTCCACCCCACCAGGCTGCAGGCTTTGTCTTCCAAATGGGAACATGAACTGCCCACCTACTGAGACAAGAAGTAGGAACGGCTTAAAAACTGGCTTGTTGGCTGAGCGCGGTGGCTCACACCTGTAATCCCACACTTTGGGAGGCCGAGGCGGGTGGATCACGAGGTGAGGAGATTGAGACCATTCTGGCCAACACGGTGAAACCCCGTCTCTACTAAAAATGCAAAATATTAGCTGAGCGTGGTGGTGGGCTCCTGTAGTCCCAGCTTCTTGGGAGACTGGGGACAGGAAAATCGCTTGAACCTGGGAGGTGGAGGTTCCAGTGAGCAAGATCGCACCACTGCACTCCAGCCTAGGCGACAGAGCAATACTCTGTCTCAAAAAAAGAAAAAAAAAAAAAAAAAACTGGGCCGGGCGCGGGGGCTCACGCCTGTAATCCCAGCACTTTGGGAGGCCGAGGCGGGTGGATCACGAGGTCGAGAGATCGAGACCATCCTGGTCAACATGGTGAAACCCCGTCTCTACTAAACATACAAAAAATTAGCTGGGCATGGTGGCACGTGCCTGTAATCCCAGCTACTCAGGAGGCTGAGGCAGGAGAATTGCCTGAACCCAGGAGGCAGAGGTTGCGGTGAGCCGAGATCGCGCCATTGCACTCCAGCCTGGGTAACAAGAGCGAAACTCCGTCTCAAAAAAAAAAAAACAAACTGGCTTCTTGTGTATAACTATCCGTGGGGCTGCAGTGAAGGGGCTGGCAGTGCGTAGGTGCAGTCTCAACCCTGGGACAATCACATTCAGCATCTGAGGGCCCCTGTAATAGCATAATCTTTAAATTGAAGCCCTGGGGTTGCTTTGAAGGAGAGAGGACCTGGAATTATGTTCAAGGGGATGGGATGGGGAGGGGAGATGGGTCTGAAAGCCAAGCTGTACCCTACCCACCTTGCCTCAAGAGAAATAGAACCTGCATTTTTAATTGCTCAATGAGAAAACTGGTGGCTGGCCAGACCGCAGTGGCTCACACCTATAATTCCAGCACTTTGAGAGGCCGAGGTGGGCAGATCACTTGAGGTCGGGAGTTCAAGACCAGCCTGGTCAACATGGTAAAACTCTGTCTCTACTAATAATACAAACATTAGCCAGGTGTCGTGGTGCATGCCTGTAGTCCCAGCAACGTGGGAGGCTGAGGCATGAGAATCGCTTGAACCTGGGAGGTGGAGGTTACAGTGAGCCGAGATTGTGCCACTGCACTGCAGTCTGATGACAGAGTGAGACTCCATCTCACCAAAAAAAAAACACAAAAAACAAAACAAAAAAAAACCAACCCAGGATCATGCAGCTAGTAAGTGACAGAGCTGGGACTTGAGCTTGGGTTTTGTGACTCCTGGTCTGGCTTATCATACACGAAGTGCCAAGAACTAAACTAAACCAAAGATGATCTTGGAATTTCCTTCCCCTCCCTCCCTCACTCCGTTTCCTCCCGCGTGTCTGCATGGCTTTTTGGGAAAATGACAGGAGAATGTACCAGCCACAAAGAGGACCCTTGTTTTCCTCGTGGCTCTTCCTGGCAATGACACTACTGACACCAACAGTCTTTTTTGTCCCCAGTGACTTCTGCTGCCTGATGCCCAAGTGACCACCTCTGCTTTGTCATTTCTAGGATTCTCTACCAGGTCCTTCTCGACGCTGGGCAATTCAGCTTGGCTGTGGCGATGGGTCTTGCATCTGGTCTCCTGACAGGTCAGTGTGAGGCCACCTTTCTTCCACTGTTGCCCAGGACACAGCACCCACGTCCAGAGCGCCCCCTACTGTGTGGCTGGTGTATCTCAGCCCTGTCTCCTTCCCTGCAGATAACATAATTTCAGAATTGGAATGGTCCTTAGAAGTCACCTGCTGCCAATGTGGACTGTGAGGCCAGGACAGGGCAGGGACATCCCTAAAATTGTAAGTAGGGAGAGTGGCAACATTGCACACTCTTAAACCCAGGGCTGATGATCACGCTCAGTTTTGCACAGCAACCCAAGGAAATCCTTACACCCAAAAGCCTACCTTTTATTCCTGAGGATACCCATAATACTGTTTTATTCAACAAATATTTATTCAATATCTACCATGAGCCAGGCACTGGAGACACAGCAATGAGCAAAACAATTTCCCTGACCTCATGGAACTGATCTTCTGGTGGGGAGGGTATTAACAATAAATAGCCGGGCGCGGTGGCTCAAGCCTGTAATCCCAGCACTTTGGGAGGCCGAGGCGGGTGGATCACGAGGTCAAGAGATCGAGACCATCCCAGTCAACATAGTGAAACCCCGTCTCTACTAAAAATACAAAACATTAGCTGGGCATGGTGGCACATGCCTGTAATCCCAGCTACTCAGCAGGCTGAGGCAGGAGAATTGCCTGAACCCAGGAGGCGGAAGTTGCGGTGAGCCGAGATCGCGCCATTGCACTCCAGCCTGGGTAACAAGAGCAAAACTCCGTCTCAAAAAACAAACAAACAAACAAAAAAAACAATAAATGGACAAGTAAGTGTCTAGTATGTTGGCTAGTAATAAGTGACTGTGAAGACAGAACCGAGTAGGGAAACAGATGCAATGTGGGATGGGTGTTCTTTTAGCGGGGTGGTCAGGGAAGGCTTATCTGAGTAGTTAGCTTTTAAGCAGAGACCCCAGTGAAAAGGAAGGAGATATGCCATGCATTTATTTAGGAGAAGAACATTGCATGAAAATCGGAGAGCAAGTGCAAAGAAAGGCCCTGGGGCAGGAGCACGATTTGTGTGCTGAGGGAGCAGTAAGGAGGCCAGTGTGGTTGGTATGGATGGAATGAGAAGGAGCAGCAGGCATTGAAAGCAGAATGGTAGCCAGGAGCAGGCCCTTAGGAGAGATGGGAAGCCCCTGGAGATCTTTCAACAATGGAGTAAAGTATGTTTCTGCTCTTGCAATACAATAGAACAGCCAAATATCTTGAGGAGTTGCTAATTAGCCAGTCTTATATGCCAGGTGAAAATATGTGGCTAGGTATGGTGGCTCATGCCTGTAATCTCAGCAATTTGAGAGGCTGAAGTGGGCATCTCACCTGAGGTCAGGATTCGAGACCAGCCTGGCCAACATGGAGAAACCCCGTCTCTACTAAAAATACAAAAATTAGCCAGGCATGGTGGCGGGTGCCTGTAATCCGAGCTACTTGGGAGACTGAGGCAGGAGAATTGCTTGAACCCAGGAGGTGAGGTTGCAATGAACCACGATTCTGTCTCTGAAAGAAAGAGAGAGAAAGAAAGAAGAAAGAAAGAAAAAGAAAACATAGAAAGGAAAGAAAGAAAGAGAAAGAAAGAAAAGAAAGAAAAAGAAAATATACATTCTGGCCAGGCATGGTGGCTCATGCCTGTAATCCTAGCATTTTGGGAGGCTGAGGCAGCTGGATCACCTGAGGTCAGGAGTTTAAGACCAGCCTGACCAACATGGCAAAACCCTGTGTCTACTAAAAATACAAAAATTAGCCAGATGTGGTGGTATACACCAGTAGTACCAGCTACTCAGGAGGTTAAAGTAGGGGAATGGCTTGAACCCAGGAGGTAGAGGTTACAGTGAGCCAAGATTGCACCACTGCCCTCCAGCCTAAGCAACAAGAGTGAGACTCTCTCTCAAAAAAAAAAAAGAAAGAAAGAAAACATACTTTCCATCCAGAACTGTTCACCTTTATTCTATAAGCAAACACCTTTTATTGGTTAGACACCCATGTATGTGTCCCTAAGCAGAAGGTGGATGCCAAATACTAGACAAAATGGGGTAAGACACTATGAGACTCTGAGTTGTGTGACGTTGGGCATCTCACTTTACTCCCTCTGAGCCTTGGTTAGCTTCTCTGTAAAATGAAGGGATTATAGTAACCAAGCTGGCGTCCTTCCAGCTTTAACAAACTATATTAAGGTACTTTTTGAAGTTACCTGGGTAATTTTTGAGTGTGAGGTTGGCTAAAATTGCTTTAATGTACCAGAGTCTGGCCTTAGCTTTCAGCAGAGTGTGTGTGAAGAAGCAGAGGCAGAGTGGAGTAAATTCCATGGGTAACATTCACTCTGTGGCAGCTGGCAGTCCAACCCTGGGAAAGGCTGCCTGATTTAGCAAAAATGCAGAGTGCCTGTTTTTAAAATTCAAAATGAATTGGGTATCCTGCATTTTATTTAGCAACCCTATCCCCGGAATCACACCATTCACTCACTGTTATCACTGGTGTGTTCAAGGTGGTGCTGACTTGCACCTTGTCTTACAAAGTACCTGGGGTCTTTTCTATGCTTCACTGGGGTCAAAAAAGAGAATAGAGGAAAAGACAATCATATTGTTCCTTTAAGGTTAAGACCTGCCGGGCATGGTGGCTCATGCCTGTAATCCCAGCACTTTGGGAGGCCGAGGCGGGCGGATCACCTGAGGTTGGGAGTTCGAGACCAGCCTGACCAACATGGAGAAACCCCGTCTCTACTAAAAATACAAATTAGCTGTCCATGGTGGCACATGCCTATAGTAATCGCAGCTACTCAGGAGGCTGAGGCAGGAGACTTGCTTGAACCCAGGAGATGGAGGTTGCAGTGAGCCAAGATCGCACCATTGCACTCCAGCCTGGGCAGCAAAAGCAAAACTCCATCTCAAAAAAAAAAAAAAAAAAGCTGGGCGCGGTGGCTCAAGCCTGTAATCCCAGCACTTTGGGAGGCCGAGGCGGGTGGATCACGAGGTCAAGAGATCGAGACCAACCTGGTCAACATGGTGAAACCCCGTCTCTACTAAAAATACAAAAAATTAGCTGGGCATGGTGGCGCGTGCCTGTAATCCCAGCTACTCAGGCGGCTGAGGCAGGAGAATTGCCTGAACCCAGGAGGCGGAGGTTGCGGTGAGCCGAGATCGCGCCATTGCAGTCCAGCCTGGGTAACAAGAGTGAAACTCCGTCTCAGAAAAAAAAAAAAAAAGACAAATAAGTCTTCCTCTTTACATGTTGCTTTTGACATTAGCAAACTGGTGATTAAAAAACAACATGGGTGGCTCACACTTGTAATCCCAGCACTTTGAGAAGCTGAGGCGGGAGAATAGCTTGAGGCCAGGAGTTCAAGACTAGCCAGGGCAACATAGTGAGACCCCATCTTTACAAAAGATACAAAAATTAGCCAGGCATGGTGGTGCACCTGTAGTCCCCGCTACTCTGGAGGCTGAAGTGGGAGGATCTGTTGAACCTGGGAGGCAGAAGTTGCAGGAGCTGAGGTCGTGCCACTGCACTCCAGCCTGGGCAACAGAACGAGACCCTGTCTCTAAAAAGAAAACAAAACAACTTGGACAATGGAAGGGGAAAAAAGTCCCTCAAGCAGCCAAAATTGCACCAGAGGGACTCCCGGAAGCCAAGCGTTTAACTTGTTCGTTGACCCCTCTATTTGGAGCCTATCTGTTCTTATTTTTAAAACAGACCTATCGAGCCGGGCGCGGTGGCTCAAGCCTGTAATCCCAGCACTTTGGGAGGCTGAGGCGGGTGGATCACGAGGTCGAGAGATCGAGACCATCCTGGTCAACATGGTGAAACCCCGTCTCTACTAAAAATACAAAAAATTAGCTGGGCATGGTGGCACGTGCCTGTAATCCCAGCTACTCAGGAGGCTGAGGCAGGAGAATTGCCTGAACCCAGGAGGCGGAGGTTGCGGTGAGCCGAGATCGCGCCATTGCACTCCAGCCTGGGTAACGAGAGCGAAACTCCATCTCAAAAAACAAAAACAAAAACAAAAACAAACAAACAAGCAAACAAACAAACAAAAAAAAAACAGACCTATCAAGCATAGTTATTGGGTTTCCCAGCTCAGGTGGATTAGAAGTAGCAGATCAGAGGTGGGCTAGGTTTCTAGAGGTAAAGTACACCAGCAGAAGTTAGAAGTAAAAGCAAAGAGCCTAACAGAGAAAGAGAAATTCTTAAAACCAGCCACAAGAACAGAAAATGCTCGGGCTGCTGAGAGAATAGGCCAAGCACTCTCCACGGCTACACACCTTTTCCGCCTTATATGGCATGTTTCATAAGTGGGTGTTCCAGTGATGGTTCTGATTTTTTTATAAGTCTAAATATGTTCAACGTTGTCTTAGAAGATAAAATATATTTTAGACAGACATTCCTCAGTGATGAGTAAGCCTCAGCTATCTGGAAAATTCATGCAGGTGCTAGAGATCATTTCTGAGTAATTCAAGCTAACTGAGTTATGCTGGTTGAAGCCTGCATGCCGATATCAGTTAAAGGCAGCACTCCACAAGGGAAATACGAATCTTACTAAGCACTCATACCTTCTTGTTAATGACACTGGAACTGATCATCTTTCATAATACACAGATAAATCTATCAGGAGGATTTCCTTGCTTCCTGTGAAAGGAAGCACTCATTCAATGTGTCCTGTGAAATTCAGCCAGCTTTGGGAAGCTGGAGGAATACATATGGCCATGCTATCTGGGCAGAGACTAGACATGGAAAGGAGGCTGGGCATGGTAGCTCACCCCTGTAATCCTAGCACTTTGGAAGGCAAAGGTGGGCAGATCACTTGAGCTGAGGCGTTCAAGACCAGCCTAGGCAACACGGCAAAACCCCGTCTCTACAAAAAATACAAAAAATGAGCTGGGTATGGTGGCACACACCTGTGGTCCCAGCTACTTGGGAGGCTAAGGTGGGAGGATTGCTTGAGCCCGGGAGTTTGAGGCTGCAATGAGCTGTGATTGTGCCACTGCACTCCAGCCTGGATAACAGAATGAGACCCTGTCTCACAACTAAAAATAAAAGATACTAAAAAAGATGGGGAAAAGGAAGGACAGGCATAAAAGCAAGTTATAAGCTACTCTCTTAACTACACAAGTGGAAAGTTAAGCTGAGATTGCCAGGAGTTGACTGGAGTCAGAGAAGACAGACCTATAGGAGCCCCCAGTTGGAGTCACCCTCCGTAGTGGCCTGTACGTCTTACATTGATCAGCTTTCGTGGGGCCCTTCTACTCCATCTGGGGAAGGGCATCAGATCCGTGGCTCTTGTGTACTGCTCAGTATCATCTCAGCCTTTTGGAAATCATTGCCATTCCCAGTTCCTTTTTTAAAAATGTCTACAGAACTGGCTCAGCGCAGTGGCTCATACCTGTAATCCTAGCACTCTGGGAGACTGAGACAGGTAGATCACCTGAGGTCAGGAGTTTGAGACCATCTTGACCAACATGGTAAAACCTCGTCTCTATTAAAAATAAAAAATAAAAAATAAAGTAGCTGGACATGGTGGCAGGCACCTGTAGTCCCAGCTACTTGGAGGCTGAGGCAGGAAAATCACTTGAATCCAGGAGGCAGAGGTTGCAGTGAGTGGAGATTGCACCGTTGTACTCCAGCCTGGGTGATAGAGCGAGGCTCCATCTCAAATAAATAAGTAAATACACAGTAAAATAAAATAGAATGTCTACTCAATTAAGCTGGTCCAGCAATGACAGGGCTTCCATTTATTTGTCTGTCTTTCAACTGTGGGAGAAAAAAGATTTCTGTGGAGACATGGTAGTTTTGACACACACTATTTTGATTAATCTTGAGATAAAAAATCCTGTGCTCCAAATGTTTTAACATTGAATCATGTATTGAAACAGGTTTGCTCCTACGTCTCAAAATATGGAAAGGACCTCATGCGGCTAAATATTTTGATGACCAAGCTTTCTGGGAGGTAAGATTTGTAACCTATAATGTGATAGATTTTGATAGATTTTGCATGAACTTAAAAAGATAACTGGCTACCTATGTTGACTTGGTGTTTATGAGTAGAACAAAAACAAAAATGAAGTAAGGCGCATTGCAGGAGGAGCTGGAGGAAGAACGAGGCCGTGATATTCATGTGTCGGGAGGGCGGTGCGGAGGTGGTGAAGGTCCCCACTTCCCTGATGCCTCAAATCATCCAGGGTCAGGCTGCACTTCCCCTCCCCGTCTGCAGTCCTCAGCCTAGGCAAATAGTTTGGCATGCAGGTGACAACCCTGACACCCCCACGACGCAAGAGCTGGAAGAAGACTCAAGCCCTGGAATCCAACCCCTTTTTCGACAGACGCTAAGAGTAGAGACAATGACTTATCAAGATGTCACAGCCCGCTGGGCACGGTGGCTCACGCCTGTAATCCCAGCACTTTGGGAGGCCAAGGTGGGGGGATCACCTGAGGCCAGGGGTTCAAGACCAGCCTGGCCAACATGTCAAAACCCCATCTCTACTAAAAAATAATGGTGGCACATGCGTGTAATCCCAGTTATTCAGGAGGCTGAGGCAGGAGAATCGCTTGAAACCAGGAGGTGGAGGTTGCAGTGAGCCTAGATCGTGCCAGCCTGGGCGAGAAGAGCTGACACTCTGTGTGTGTGTGGCGGGGGGGGAAGATCTTACAGTGTGTGAGTGTCCAGGCTGAGTCCTGAACACAGCTCTTGATAAATGATAACAAGCAGGCACAAAAATATTTGTAGTACAGGAGTCTGAAGTCACTTAACAAAGGGACATAAAGCTCAAATAACTCAGTGGCTGCTGTCCCTGTGTTACATTGTAGCGTCTGTTGTTGTGACTGGGCTAGAAAGAAGGTATAGAAGGTCGGGGCTCACTCCCTGTGACCCCAGCACCCTCCTTTGACCCACACTCATAGTTCACTCAGCACTCTGATGTGCCCCTAGACCATCCTCTAGCCAATGCTGTGGGTGGGCTGGACCAGCAGGGACCAGTATTGCCACAGCAAGTTGGGGCTGGCAGTGGTCAGGCTACTGTCTGATGTTGTACTTTTGTGAGTGGCAGAGCCAAGACCAGAACCCAGACCTTCCGAGTCCCAGGCCAATGCTTGCCCCACCCAGCATCCAAGATGTTGCTCACTGAAGGGACAAAGAAGCCACCTTTGTATGGGCCTGGACACCTGTGCCTGAGGGCCAAGCAGAGAGAAGCTGGGGAGAGACCCCGCCCCTTCTTCTCCTTCTCCATCCTCTCCTTTCTCTTCTTCCTCCCCTTCAAATAGCTTTTTGAGGTGTAACTGGCCTACAATCAATTGAACATATTTAGGGCAGGTGTGGTGGCTCACACCTGTAATCCCAGCACTTTGGGAGGCCAAGGCAGGCAGATCACTTGAGATCAGGAGTTTGAGACCAGCCTGGGCAACATGGTGAAACCCTGGGTCTCACTAAAAATACAAATACTAGCCAGGTGTGGTGGCAGGAGCCTGTAATCCCAGCTACTATGGAGGCTGAGGCAAGAGAATCCCTTGAACCAGGAAAACGGAGGTTGCAGTGAGTGAAAGCATGCCACTGCACTCCAGCCTGGGCGACAGAGCAAGACTTCATCTCAAAAACAAAACGATTGTGCATATATAAAGTATATAATTTGATACATTTTGACATATTTAAACACCCATGAGACCATCACCACCACCAAGACAAGCAGCACACCCATCACTCCCACACACTTCCTTCTGCTCCTTTGAAATTCCCCCCACAACCTGGTCCCATCCACAGGCAACCATGACTGAACTACTTCCTGTCACTATAGTTTGCATATTCTGTAATTTTTTTGTGTGTTTGAGATAGGGTTTCACTCTGTCACCTAGACTGTGGTGGCACAATCATGGCTCACTGTAGCCTCAACCTCCCCAGGCTCAGGTGATCCTCCCCCTCAGCCTCCTGAGTAGCTGGGACTACAGGTGTATGCCACCATGCCAGGCTAATTTCTGTATTTTTTATAGAGATGAGGTTTTACCATATTGCCTAGGCTGGCTTCAAACTCCCGGACTCAAGCAGTCTTCCTGCCTTGGCCTCTCAAAGTGCTGGGATTAGAGGCGTGAGTCACTGTGCCCAGCCCTCTGTAATTGTATACAAAGGGAATCGTGCAGCACGTACTCCCCTTTGTCTGGCTTCTTTTTCGCAGCATGATTATTCTGAGAATCATCCGTGTGTTGTGTGTAACCTACTTCCTCAGCTTCTCCAAAAGGACTGAGAAAATTGGTTTGATCTATTCATTCATTCCTCAGGTATTTATTGAGTAACTATTCTATACCAAGTTCTATGCTAATCGACCAAGAATACCACAAACAGGACAAATCTCCAGCTCAACCACTTGAGTCGCAATAAATATTTGCTGTATAGGTCAGGCTCAGTGGCTCACACTTATAATCCCAGCACTTTGGGAGGCCGAGAGGAGAGGATCTCTTGAGCCGAGGAGGTCAAGGCTGCAGAGAACCGTGAACACAACACTGCACTCCAGCCTGGGTGACAGAGTGAGAGTGTGTCTCTGATATATGTGTGTATATATATATATACATATATATATACACACATACTGGATAAATTAAGGAAATCCGAGGAACCCCATCTAACACTAGTCACTGCAGCAACAGGTGAACTAGAACAAGTGTGCATTTGGAATGAGGAAACTTGATGTTAGCCATCATTCTGTAATGTGATGCAGTATGTAATACAATGTATTATGTATTAGTGTATGCATTATGTAGACAAGTTCCTTGACCTCTCTCACTGGTAAAATAAGAGTAGTAATCTTTGTTCTACCTCAGTGGGTTGTTTTAAAGATCAAGTGAAGCTGGGCGTGGTGGCTCAAGCCTGTAATCCCAGCACTTTGGGAGGCTGAGGCGGGTGGATCACGAGGTCAAGAGATTGAGACCATCCTGGTCAACATGGTGAAACCCCGTCTCTACTAAAAATACAAAAAATTAGCCAGGCAAGGTGGCGCGTGCCTGTAATCCCAGCTACTCACGAGGCTGAGACAGGAGAATTGCCTGAACCCAGGAGGTGGAGGTTGTGGTGAGCCGAGATCGCGCCATTGCACTCCAGCCTGGGTAACAAGAGCGAAACTCCGTCTCAAAAAAAAAGATCAAGTCAGGTGGCCGGGTGCTGTGGTTCACGCCTGCAATCCCAGCATTTTGGAAAGCCAAGGTGGGAATATCACAAGGTCAGGAGTCTGAGACCAGCATGACCAACATGGTGAAACCCTGTGTCGACTAAAAATACAAAAAAAAAAAAAAAAAAAAAAATATTAGCGAGCATGGTGGTGTGTTCCTGTAATCCCAGCTACTCAGGAGGCTGAGGCAGGAGAATTGCTTGAACCTGGGAGGCGGAGGTTGCAGTGAGCCGAGATCATGCTACTGCACTCCAGCCTGGGCCACAGAGGGAGAGTCCATCGAAAGAGAGAAAAAGAGAAAGAGAAGGAAGGAAGGAAGGAAAGGAAGGAAGGAAGGTCTGTAACAACATTCTGTGAAATGCAAACCACCACATGAATGTGGAAGTTTATTACTAGGGATTTTGCCAACCATGAAGGAATGTGTGAGCATAAGAGCTATCATATGCAAGCCTACAGTTTCTGATTTTGTGCCAGGTGCTTTTCCACATTACCTGATTTTATCCTCACAACAATCCTGCATAAAAATATATCAGACGGGCGTGGTGGCTCATGCCTGTAATCCCAACACTTTGGGAGGCAGAGATGGGCAAATCACTTGAGGTCAGGAGTTCAAAACCAGCCTGGCCAACATGGTAAAACCCTGTCTCTACTAAAAATATGAAAAACTTAGCTGGGGTGGTGGTAGACACCTGTAATCCCAGCTACTCAGGAGGCTGAGGCAGGAAAATTGCTTGAGCTGGGAGGCAGAGGTTCCAGTGAGCTGAGATCACGCCACAGCACTCCAGCCTGGGCAACAGAACAAGGCTCTGTCTCAAAAAAAAAAAAAAAAAAAAATTAAGTATATCAATTTTGAAGATGATGAAATTGAGGCCTAGAGAGATTAAGTAACTTGCCCAAAATGACAGAACTAACGCATAGGACAGGAGAAATTTGAGTTGATGTCTTTTGGCTCCAAAGACGCCCCACATATGTATTGGGTACAGTTACTGGAGAAAAGTTATTCCATCCCCACCCCGCCCCCAGGAATCTTCTGACTTGTTCTCTGGCACTTGCATAGAACCATGTATTCTGTATTCAGCAGTGTACCGTTCTCAGCTTGCAGCTGAGAGCCAGCATCCACTAAAGAGGCAAGGATGCAGACCTGCAAAGCTCATAAATCCAGGGGGGATTTTTTTTTTTTTTTTTTTTTGCAAACCATCCAACAAGCCATTTTAAATGTTATTGAATACTCTTATTGCATTTCATAGAACTGACTGCCAGGGTGGAAGGACATTAAAGCCAGCTTTAATGACTGCTTCACTGGTGGCCAGACCACGCCTGGCATTTCCTGGAGGGGCACTCACCACTCCCCAAGGGCACCCATCTCATCCTTGGATGCTTTATTAACAGGCACTCATTCATGCGCTAATTCCTTCCACTACATGTATTACCTAATTTGTGACATTGTGTGACGTGTCAAAGAGAGAATTCTGAATGAAACAAAGTCATGGGTCTCCAGGAGCCAGGTATGCTCATCTCCAACCCTCCTGCAGTTTAGTCACCCTCACCACATGCTTACGTACTGAAATTGTTTATTTATTTATCACCCTTTTTTTTTTTTTTTTTTTTTTTTTGAGACAAAGTCTCACTCTATAGCTCAGGCCAGAGTGCAGTGGCGTGATCTCACTTCACTGCAACCTCTGCCTCTCAGGTTCAAGCTATTCTTCTGCCTCAGCCTCCCGAGTAGCTGGGACTACAGGCATACACCACCACATCCAGCTAATTTGGTAGTTTTAGAAGAGACGAGGTTTCACCACATTGACCAGGCTGGTCTCAAACTCCTGACTCAGGTGATCTGCCCGTCTTGGCCTCCCAAAGTGCTGGGATTACAGGCATGAGCCACCGTGCCCAGCCAAAAATTCAGTTCATAACACAATTTTTTATGTGTTTTCTGCTTTCACTAAAAGAATAAACTGTTCCCTTCTTTATTTCCGTTTAATAAACCATGGATTTTATTTCATGCTTTGCAAAGCATAAGGGCTCATTGATGTGCATTTTTTTTTTGTTTTTTTTTTTTGAGATGGAGTTTCGCTCTTGTTACCCAGGCTGGAGTGCAATGGCGCGATCTCGGGTCACCGCAACCTCCACCTCCTGGGTTCAGGCAATTCTTCTGTCTCAGCCTCCTGAGTAGCTGGGATTATAGGCACGCGCCACCATGCCCAGCTAATTTTTTGTATTTTTAGTAGAGACGGGGTTTCACCATGTTGACCAGGATGGTCTCGATCTCTTGACCTCATGATCCACCCGCCTCAGCCTCCTAAAGTGCTGGGATTACAGGCTTGAGCCACCGCGTCTGGCCTTGATGAGGGCTTTTTAAAACTAATTCCACGACCGGGAGTGGTGGCTCACAGCTGTAATCCTATCACTTTGGGAGGCTGAGGCAGGAGGATGGCTTGAGTCCAGGAGTTAGAGGCCAGCCTGGGCAATGTGGTGAAACCTTGTCTCTTCCAAAACTCATCTCTACAAAAAATTAGCCCGGCATGGTGATGCATGCCTGTAGTCCCAGGTACTTTGGAGACGGAGGTGGGAGGATCACTTGAGCCCTGAGAGGTAGCCTGCAGAGAGCTGAGATCGTACCACTGCAGTCCAGCCTGTATGACAGAGCAAAATGCTGTCTCAAAATAAATGAATAAACAAAAATTTTAAAGTAAGATTAATTCCACAACTAACCTTTCTGAAGTCAAGCAATAACTTTTTTTATGAGTCTCCCATGGTCAAAGCCCTGTTCTGAGTATTGTGGGAGGACAGAGAAACTGGGAGTTTAACGACTTGGGAAGACTGGGCCTTTCTATGTGCACAGCTCTGTCTGTTACAGACTAAACAATTGGTGCCAAGCGCAGCAGCTCACACCTGTAATCCCAGTGCTTTGAGAGGCTGCGGCAGGAGGAATGCTTGATCCCAGGAGTCTGAGGCTGCAGTGAGCTGACTGCACCACTGCATTCCAGCCTGGGCGAGAGTGACACCCTGGTTCGAAAAGTAAAATGGCTGGGCACGGTGGCTCACGCCTGTCATCTCAGAACTTTGGCGTGTAACTTGCTTGAGTCCAAGAGTTCAAGAGCAACCTGGGCAACATGGCAAAACTCTGTCTGTATAAAAAAGTAGCTGGGCACTGTGATGTGTGGCTGTAGCCCTAGCTGCCTGGGAGGCTGAGGTGGGAGGATCACTTGAGCCTGGGAGGCGGAGGTTGCAGTGAGCCTAGATCTCGCCACTGTACTCCAGCCTGGATGACAGAGGGATACTCTGTCTCAGAAAAAAAAAAAAAAAAAAATTAGCTGGGGCAGGGCACGGTGGCTCACGCCTGTAATCCCGGCAGTTTGGGAGGCTGAGGTGGGTGGATCACCTGAGGTCAGGAGTTCAAGACCAGCCGGACCAACATGGTGAAACCCTGTCTCTACTAAAAACTACAAAAATTGGCTGGGCTTGGTGGCTGAGGCAAGAGAATTGCTTGAAGCCAGGAGAATTGCTTGAACACCACTGCACTCCAGCCTGGGAGAGAAGAACAAAACTCCATCTCAAAAAAAAAAAAAAAAAAAAGGACTGGCATGTAGAAGAAAACTGTTTTCTCTACTGCTTCTCCAAAGAATTTAACCAGACCCAGGGGAGGTGCAGTATAAATTTCTAACAATCTCAACTGTCTGCCAAATGGAATGAGCTACTTCCTATGGCAGTAGTGAGTCCCCTGTCTCTGGAGGCATTCAAACAAAAGCCAGACGGCCATTTATCAATGATCCATGTAAAATGCTATACAAAATAAAACCTATCTAAGATCTCTTCCAATTCAGATTATATTAAAGAATTTCTGGCCGGGCGCGGTGGCTCAAGCCTGTAATCCCAGCACTTTGGGAGGCCGAGGCGGGTGGATCACGAGGTCGAGAGATCGAGACCGTCCTGGTCAACATAGTGAAACCCCGTCTCTACTAAAATACTAAAAAAAAATTAGCTGGGCATGGTGGCACGTGCCTGTAATCCCACCCACTCAGGAGGCTGAGGCAGGAGAATTGCCTGAACCCAGGAGGCGGAGGTTGCGGTGAGCCGAGATCGCGCCATTGCACTCCAGCCTGGGTAACAAGAGGGAAACTCTGTCTCAAAAAAAAAAAAAAAAAAAATTTCTAACGTCTTTGTGATGAGACATATTTAGGCTAAGTTTCAAGAGATCAAGCCAAAATCAGTATGTGGGTTCATCTGTGATAAAAATGTTTGTTTTGCTTTTACAGTTTCCTCATTTGGCTGTCGGATTTTAAGCAAAAGCACCCAAGAAAAACAAGGCCTGTTCAAAAACAAGGCAGCTTCCTTTTGCTGGTGCCTACTCTGTGAGAAACACTCATGACAACAAAGTCTCCTTATGTACAATAAAACAAGGTCAAAGACAGATTTGACATTAAAAAATAAGACTAACAACTTGTTTAAGAGTCAATTTAATAACAATTTAAAATAAATTTGTAGTTTCATTAAGATGATGCTATTGATATTTTCTTGGTTACAGACGATATCTGTATTAAAGTTTTGGGTAAATTTTATTGACACTTCTTAAGATTCTTTCTCATGCAATAAAGTGTGCTACCTAGTTAACTCTTGTCTACATTAGCAAAGCAGATAATACAAAACAGGAAGAATAAGAATTCACTGATACTTAGTGCTTGTGGGAATCGTGCTTTTATTCCAGCTGGTTTTACACGGCAGCTGGCGTTCCCTGAGCATCTTCTGAATTGCACTGTAGGGAGAGGCTGTGCTCAGCTGTAGGGTCGGGGATGCACTGCCTCAGGATTAGAAAACTAGTTCTGTGACCTTGAGGAAGTCATTTAAATGTCCATGGTCTGGGTTCCCCTCCTGTGTAAAAAGAGAAGGTGGAGTTCAACCTCTAGGATCTTCTCCAATTTTCACGTTTTATGGATCTTTGTAGAAAAAACATCAGGAGGCCAGGCGCGGTGGCTCATGCCTGTAGTCCCAGCACTTTGGGAGGCCGAGGTGGGCAGAATGCCTGAGCTCAGGAGTTCGAGACCAGCCTCTGCAATATGGTGAAACCCTGTCTCTACTAAAATACAAAAAATTAGCTGGGTGTGGCAGCGTGTGCCTGTAGTACCAGCTACTTGGGAGGCTGAGGCAGGAGAAATGCTTGAACCTGGGAGGCAGAGGTTGCAGTGAGCTGAGATCAGGCCAGGCCACTGCACTCCAGTCTGAGCGAGAGAGCGAGACTCCGTCTCCAAAAAAAAAAAAAAAGAAAAGAAAAAACATCAGGAGTTCCTGTGGGATGACAGCAAGTCATTTCTTCGAGAAGAATCTTGATCACCAAGCAATAGTCCCAACATACAGTCAGATAACGATGGCTAACATGGAAAAGAGACCCACACATTTAAATCACCCAGCAAATATTTCAAAGGGCTAATTGTAGCACATTTTTTGAAAGACATGTCAACCTCTGGATACACGGAAGTACGTATCCCACCTTGCAGAGGTGGGAAGCCTGTAGGGCCCACAGAGTTCTGAAGAGGCCTCAGGAGACTATGAGAGCTCCTGGTAGCTAATGCTTGTCATTCTAGTTGACCTTGCTGGTCTATTAGTCTAGTGGTTCAGTATGCAGATGAAATGAAACATGGAACCCAGTTTATTATCAGAACAACTACAAAGAAATGGGCCCCTGTGTAAGACCGGACTGTGAAATCCTTGTCCTTTTCCTCTTTCCTTCAATGGTGGGTGTGGAGTGACTGCGTTCGACCAGAACCACGTGTCATGGCTGAGTCACATCCTCCTGCCCTTGGAATGAGAGCTCCCCATGGAAGAGCTCCCTACTGGAAGGGACGTGGGGAGCCTGGACCATAGTGCAGCTCTCTTCCAACACATCCACTCACCCCTGGCACATGCCACTTACACTACATGTTCACAGAATTTTTTTGTAAAAGTAAATACCAATTATAGTGAGGAAGAATTTTGACCATGAAATATTTTAAAAACAAACAAAAGCTTCTATTTCAGTTTACCATTTGACACAGAAGAGCCCACATGTGAATAAAAACACATTAAATCGGCCGGGCGCGGTGGCTCAAGCCTGTAATCCCAGCACTTTGGGAGGCCAGAGGCGGGTGGATCACGAGGTCGAGAGTTCGAGACCATCCTGGTCGACATGGTGAAACCCCGTCTCTACTCAAAATACAAAAAATTAGCTGGGCATGGTGGTACGTGCCTGTAATCCCAGCTACTCAGGAGGCTGAGGCAGGAGAATTGCCTGAGCTCAGGAGGCGGAGGTTGCGGTGAGCCAAGATCGCGCCATTGCACTCCAGCCTGGGTAACAAGGGCGAAACTCCGTCTCAAAAAAAAAAAAAAACAAAAACACAACACATTAAATCTTCAGAGCACTTTCACTGTGGTTTTGGACCTCAGGCATGACAAATACTTACATTGACAAATCCATAATTTCTTTTGTAATTTATTTTTACAAATTATACCATGATAACATTTGACAAAAATTATTCATGTGAAAGTTTCCTTTAACATTTTATAAGTTAATCAAGTGCATAGCACAATAGATTTTTGGTTGTTTAAATAGGGTGTTCTCGTGATTTTAGTATTACACAACTTTAAGCTGAGACTACACTCAGAAATAAGCTTAGAAAATGGCATTACAGAAGACTGGGAGTGAGCAGTAAAAAACAAAACAAAACAAACCCATGCAGGGCTGTCGTGCTGCAGGAAATCGGATGTTTTCACTGCCATAAGTCTTCAGTGCGGCCAAACTTAAAAACCAGTCCTCTGTGAATAAATCAAGAAATACCACATGACTCCCTGAATTTGAAAAAAGAATATGTGAGATTTTGAGAACAGGTGTGAAACAAACAACAAAGAATAATTGATGAGTTGTAGAAAAAATGTTGGTACAAAATGTATCAAAACAGAAACTGATCATTCTAAGGTAGTGAATTCTTCCATTACACTCAACGGTGCTATTTACCACCATCTTCCTGATAGCCTTAACTTCTGAGTACTAAAGACTCATGTGACTTTTAAAAAGTTAACCAGTGTTTACTATGTAACCATTATATGTCTGAGTTTATCAAATTCATTCAACAAACTGTTTTGGTGCCAGGGCTATAAAATAAGATACATGACTACTGCCCTCAAATTGCTCCCATTTTGCTAACCAATATGGTTCGTGCGGGGGTGGCTGGGAAAGGAGACTTATATACTAAGTATTAAGGGGGCACAGAAACACAGAATTCAGTTGCCCTAAATAAGTTAGAAAAGGATTTACAGAGGTAATATTTGAGATGGGCTTTTATGGAAAAACAAGTTTGAATAGGACAATTGTATGCATAAAATAAAAGCTGAGGTGTTAGTAGAACAAGGAGGAATCTACCATGGCCAGATTACAGTTGAGGAGATGAGGAGGCAGGGAATGGACACAGCCAGGCTTTGGAAAGCCAACTGCTGAGGGTGGCAAATTACCCACAGGTGCCTTAGATGAGCCAGAGTGCAGATGGCTGCCTGCATGCCACCAAATGAAATGCGGCTATGGGCCAGGCACAGGGGTTCATGCCTGTAATTCCAGCACTTTGGGAGGCTGAGGCAAACGGACTGCTTAGGCCCAGGAGTTTGAGACAGCCTAGGCAACATGGCAAATGCCAGCCTCTACAAAAAATACAAAAATTAGTTGGGCATGGTGGCACGCGCCTATAATCCCAGATCTCTGCTCTTCTAGTTAACATCAGATCTATTGCTGTAACAAAGAAAAAGTGACGCTGGTTATTAGAGGCCTCTACTGTCCAAATAGCTTAAAAGAGACACTGTAACTCCACCATATTTGTCACAAGCTATGAACTCTAATCTGGAGTTTCTTGGGAAGGAGCCGGGGCCAGTCCCTCCTACACTGTCAGATGGTCATCTCTGGTACTAACATCTGCCCATTCTGACTTCTGAAACAGTAATTCCATGCTGCTGCTGAGTACCATTCTCTTATGATCAGAATGGCAGGTGTCCCCTCCAAATCTCCTACTGAAATGTGATCCCCAGTGTTGGTGGTAGAGCTTAGTGGGACGTGTTGGTCATGGGGGGCAAATCTTTCATGAATGGCTTAGTGCCATCCCCTTGGTGATGAGTCAGTTCTCACTCTGTTAGTTCACATTCAGGTTGTTTAGAGGAGGCTGGTACCTCTTCTTTCTCTCTCTCTAGCCTCATATGATATGCCGGCTCTCCCTCTGCCTTCTGCCATGATTGGAAGCTTCCTTAGGCCCTCACCAGAAGCAGATGTTGACACCATGCTTCCTGTTCAGCCTGCAGAACCATGAGCCAAAATAAACCTATTTTCTTTCTAAATTACCCAGCCTCAGGTAACCCTAAATAGTAATGCAAATGGACTAACACAACAGGCAATGTGCTACAACTATTCTGCTAACAGTGTCCATTAACCAAATTCAATTTGCTTACAGGATACAAGGTATAACCCAAAGAGGCTGTGCATCTTGTCACATCTAAGTTTACATTCTTATTTCCAAACTGATTTTATAAAATGGTAAAGATGCCTGGTGACGGAATAGGTGTGAATACCAACTGGTGACTCTTACTGAAGGGCAACTATTAGTATTTCAGTAGACATGGGATTTTTTGTTTCTTTTTTGGAGGTGGGTGGGAAGGGATGGGGAAGGAAAAGCCCTGGAGTATACATCAGATTCCTAGCCTCTTTTGGATTAAGGATTTCTTTGAAAATCTGATGAAAGCCACAAACTCTTTCCAGAAATACACAAGACACCAATTTCCTGCATATGGAAATGTCTGGTGATTCCAAACCTTCAGAAGCCTTCTGACGAATAAAGATTAAGAACTCCTGACGTGGGCTGTGTGCGGTGGCTCATGCCAATAATCCCAGCACTTTGGGAGACTGATGTGAGCAGATCACAAGGTCAGGAGTCAGAGATCAGCCTGACCAACACAGTGAAACCCTGTCTCTACTAAAAACACAAAAATATTAGCTGGGCGTGGTGGTGTACGCCTGTAGACAGCTACTTGGGAGGCTGAGGCAGGAGAATCACTTGAACCTGGCAGGCGGAGGTTGCAGTGAGCTGAGATTGAGCCACTGTACTGGTGACACAGCGAGACTCCATCTCAAAAAACAATAATAAAGTAAGAAGGAACTCCTGATGCAGAGGATAAGGCGCTGTTTTGCTTGTGGGGTCTTATGGCCAGGGGAAGGGGTAGGTTGTGGGGGATTGGAGGGGGTGGTAGTGGCTGGAGGAGCAGCGCAGATAGAGAAAAGGGCTGGCCCTAAGTTTCTAGGAAAGATGAACATCAGAGAACACTGATAAAAGCCTTGAGGTTCTTAGAGGTTTTAGTCATCTTTTCATTTGTAATTGAAAGGAAAGGATAAAAAATGTTTGGGCTTTTCCTCCACACCTCAAATCTCACTCAGAAATTCTACAATATCAAGGACAGAAGAACTACACAATATATCAGAAACCAAAATGTAAGGATAAGTGGTTTTAGGGAGGCTTTCATCTAAAGCAACTGTTAGGGATCTAAGTTTAAAATGAACATCACCAGTGTTATGTAACTAAATCTGCATGAATCATAGTTACTCACTCATTAAAAGGGCGGGGGCATGGTGGCAATCTTAAAAATTAATATATGCTCTTAAGGTTGGCAGCAAACCAACTCATCTATTTAAAATATCTTTCTCAACCTTATTCTTCATGTTTTATGAAAATATCATGGAGGAGGGCATTGGATGAGTAATTAAGCAACTAAATATAGTAAATGATATAAAAGAAGCTATTACTTTTTTTTAAAAAAAAGATAAGATAAAGAATGCAAAAGAAACTTACCCAAAAAAGATGAAGGCATTCTGGAAAAATACAGCAATTCCAGGGTATACTACAACTTTTTCTGTAAAAATAATTGTGGTGTTTAGAGGGTTATGATCTCAAAACATTTGGTTTCAGATATATTGGCAAACATCAGTTTTCCTGCCTAGAAGAATTGACTTTTTATGGAATTAGGGTTGGCTTGAGTATTAAATGACATAATGTGTGACAGAGTCTAGCATTGCTTCAGTAAATGTAAACAAATATTTACTGAGGGCATACTATATATGCTGGACCTATTTAATGCTGAGGATACTGCAATAAACAAAACAGGTCAATTATTTTTTTGTCCTCATGGAGCTAGACAATATACTCAATAAAAAGAAGATAATGTGGCTGGGCGCGGTGGCTCACGCCTGTAATCCCAGCACTTTGGGATGCCAAGGCCAGTGGATCACGAGGTCAAGAAGAGATCGAAACCATCCTGGCCAACATGGTGAAACCCTGTCTCTACTAAAAAAATATAAAAATCAGCTGGGTGTGGCGGTGCATGCCTATAGTCCCAGCTACTCAGGAGGCTGAGGCAGGAGAATTGCTTGAACCCAGGAGGCGGAGGTTGCAGTGAGCAGAGATCACACCATTGCACTCCAGCCTGGCGCCTGGCGACAGAGCTGAGACTGTTTCAAAACAAGAAGAAAAAAAAGTAACATAATGCAGGAAAGGTAGAGAAGTGTCGTGTGACATCAGACACAGGTGGCCAGGAAGACCTCATGAGAAGAGGACACTGGAGTAAGGACACGCAGGAAGTGAGGGCAGAAGCCACGCATGGGCCCTGAGGGAGCATGAGGTGTTATTACGGGAACAGCCGCAGGGACACAAGAGGGACGAGCAGGGACAGGGTGAGGGCAGCTGGGTGGTGGAGACGTGGCAGTCACAGTGAGGACTCAGATTTTTGCTTTGAGTGAGATAAGAAGCCACCAGGTTGTGAGCAGAAAAGTGATCTGAGCTGACATATTTTAACAGGATCCCTCTGGCTGCTGTGCTCAGAGTAGATAAAAAGAGGTGAGAGAGGAAACAAACTAGTTAGGAGGCTCTTCCAGGAAATCAGGTAAGAAGTTATGATGGATTGAACCAGGGTGGTAGCAATGGAGATGGTAAACAGTGGTTAGATTCAGGATACATTTTATAGCACAGTCAACAGGATCTGCAGACTGGATATGGGGTGTGGGAGGAAGACAAGTGTCATCTTTGACAGGCCCTAAGTATCCAGGGCTTTTGGCCTAAACACCTGGAAAGACAGAATAGCCAGTTATTAACTAAGATTGGAAGGACTGCCAGAGCAACATTTTTTTCTGATTGTATCCAGAAATGAAGTTGAAATTCTCATAAATTTCTACTATTGGAATTGTCGATGATTGCTCATTAATTGATAGTGGCAAGATAAATAGGTGGATTATCAAAATTTTCTCATTTCAGAATGGGTTTGTTAAACTGATTAACATAACAGATGGTTTGCATAGTCTTCACCACTATTCCACATTAAATAGCCATTACCACCAGAATGGCTCATAAAAATGTTATAAAGTCAACTTTATAAAATTACAGATCTGCTGCTAATAATTCTCAAAGCATAACCTTGCTCCAGATGCCTTCGAGAAAATAGCCTAAAACTATACGACATGAAGACCTCCCTATAAAAACGGGCTCTGGGGGCCGGGCGTGGTGGCTCACGCCTGTAATCCCAGCACTTTGGGAGGCCAAGGCGGGTGGATCACAAGGTCAGGAGATCGAGACCATCCTGGCCAACATGGTGAAACCCCGTCTCTACTAAAATAAAAAAATTAGCTGGGCATGGTGGCACGTGCCTGTCATCCCAGCTACTTGGGAGGCTGAGGCAGGAGAACTGCTTGAACCCAGGAGGCAAGATGCAGTGAGCCAAGATTGCGCCACTCCACTCCAGCCTGGTGCCTGGCCACAGAGTGAGACTCTGTCTCAAAAAAAAAAAGGGCAGGGAGGGGGGCTCTGTATCAATAGTTGTATCTGGGAAATAATTATCAGTAATTGAATTTTCTTCTTTTGAGGTTTTTTTTGTTGTTGTTTTTTTTTTTTGAGACGGAGTTTCGCTCTTGTTACCCAGGTTGTAGTGCAATGCCTCCTGGGTTCAGGCAATTCTCCTGCCTCAGCCTCCTGAGTAGCTGGGATTACAGGCACGTGCCACCATGCCCAGCTAATTTTTTGTATTTTTGGTAGAAACAGGGTTTCACTATGTTGACCAGGATGGTCTCGATCTCTTGACCTCGTGATCCACCCGCCTCGGCCTCCCAAAGTGCTGGGATTACAGGCGTGAGCCACCGCGCCCGGCCCTTTTGAGTTCTTTTACATTCTTAGTTTTCCATAATGAACAAGTATTATGCAATTCCCATGACAAAAAGGGTAATTTTTTTCCTTTGTTTTTTTGAGAGAGTCTCGCTCTCTTGCCCAGGCTGCCATGTAGTGGGGTGATTGCAGCTCACTGCAACCTCCACCTCCTGGATTCAAGGGATTCTCATGCCTCAGCCTCCCAAGTAGTTGGAATTACAGACATGTGCCACCATGCCTGGCTAATTTTTGTGTTTTTAGTAGAGATGGAGTTTTGCCATGTTGACCAGGCTGGTCTCAAACTCCTGGTCTCAAGTGATCCACTCGCCTCAGCTTCCCAAAGTGCTGGGATTACAGGTGTGAGCCACCGCGTCCAACCACATTTTAAAATATATATATGTGGCCGGGCGTGGTGGCTCACTTCTGTAATCCCAGTGCTTTGGGAGGCTGAGGTGGGTGGATCACCTGAGGTAAGGAGTTCAAGACTAGCCTGGCCAGCATGGAGAAACCCCGTCTCTACTAAAAATACAAAAATTAGCTAAGCGTGGTGGCGGGTGCTCTGCAATCCCAGCTACTCAGGAGGCTGAGGCAGGAGAATCACTTGAACCCAGGAGGTGAAGGTTGCAGTGAGCTGAGATTACTTCACTGCACTCCAGCCTGGGCAACAAGAGCGAGACTCCATCTCAAAAAAAAAAACCAAAACATACATACATACATATATATATATATATATTCTTTTTTTTCAAATTATAAGTTAGTTATAATAGTTGTAATCTATAATATGTTAAATGCAAATGGGGAATAAAAATTATGATAACTAAAAACTTAAGAAAGGCTGGGCGCGGTGGCTCAAGCCTGTAATCCCAGCACTTTGGGAGGCTGAGGCGGGTGGATCACGAGGTCAAGAAATCGAGACCATCCTGGTCAACATGGTGAAACCCCGTCTCTACTAAAGGTGCAAAAAATTAGCTGGGCATGGTGGCGCGTGCCTGTAATCCCAGCTACTCCGGAGGCTGAGGCAGGAGAATTGCCTGAACCCAGGGGGCGGAGGTTGCGGTGAGCCGAGATCGTGCCATTGCACTCCAGCCTGGGTAACAAGAGCGAAACTCCGTCTCAAAAAAAAAAAACAACAACAAAAAAACCTTAAGAAAAAAGAACAGGCCGGGCACAGTGGCTCACACCTGTAATCCCAGCACTTTGGGAGGCCGAGGTGGGTGGATCACGAGGTCAAGAGATCGAGACCATCCTGATCAACATGGTGAAACCCCGTCTCTACTAAAAATACAAAAAATTAGCTGGACATGGTGGCACGTGCCTGTAATCCCAGCTACTCAGAAGGCTGACGCAGGAGAATTGCCTGAACCCAGGAGGCGGAGGTTGCGGTGAGCCGAGATCGCGCCATTGCACTCTAGCCTGGGTAACAAGAGCGAAACTCCATCTCAAAAAAAAAAAAAAAAAAAGAACAAAAGGAAATAAACCAAAATATTTAAGTGTGGTCAAAGTATTGTTACTTCTTTTCTTTCTTCTGTTCTCTTTTCTCGAGACAGGGTCTCACTTTGTCACACAGGCTGGAGTACAGTGGCATGATCATGGCTCACTGCAATCTCCTACCTCCCGGGCTCAGGTGATCCTCTCACCTCAGTCTCCCAAGTAGCTGGGACCACAGGTACACACCACCATACTTGGCTAAATTTTTATTATTATTTGTAGAAATGGGGTCTCCCTATGTTGTCCAAGCTGGTCTCAAAATCCTGGTCTCATGCAATACTCCTTCCTTGGCCTTCTGAAGTGCTAATTATAGGCATGAGCCACTGCACCCACCCTCTTTCACTTTCTACATTTTTGGTAACACGATTTTAATAACAAGTTATACATGGCCCAGCCTGGTGGTTCACACCTGTAATTTCAGCACTTTGGGAGGCTGGGATGGGCAGATCACTTGAGCCTGGGAGTTTAAGACCAGCCTGGGCAACATGGTGAAGCCCCATCTCTATAAAAAATACAAAAAATTAGCAGGGTGTGGTGGCATGGGCTTGTCATCCCAGCTACTCAGGAGGCTGAGGTGGGAGGATTGCTTGAGTCTGGGAGGTGGAGGTTGCAGTCAGCTGAAACAGTGCACTCCAGCCTGGGTGACAAAGCAAGATCCTGTCTCAAAAAAATAAATAAACATAAAAGAAAAAATACAGCCGGGCGCGGTGGCTCAAGCCTGTAATCCCAGCACTTTGGGAGGCCGAGGCGGGTGGATCACGAGGTCGAGAGATCGAGACCATCCTGGTCAACATGGTGAAACCCCGTCTCTACTAAAAATACAAAAAATTAGCTGGGCATGGTGGCACGTGCCTGTAATCCCAGCTACTCAGAAGGCTGAGGCAGGAGAATTGCCTGAACCCAGGAGGCGGAGGTTGTGGTGAGCCGAGATCGTGCCATTGCACTCCAGCCTGGGTAACAAGAGCGAAAACTCCGTCTCAAAAAAAAAAAAAAAAAGAAAAAATACAAATATTTAGAAATATCTATTACTCCTGTGTATGAGATTAAATTATTTTAATAAAAATTTAGGAAACATTATTTTAATCTAAAAGTCGTATTTTATTCAAAGAAGTAAAGAGTTAAGCCGGGTGCGGTGGCTCAATAATCTCAGCACTTTGGGAGGCCGAGGTGGGTGGATCACGAGGTCAAGAGATCGAGACCATCCTGGTCAACATGGTGAAACCCCATCTCTACTAAAAATACAAAAATTAGCTGGGCATGGTGGCTTGCGCCTGTAATCCCAGCTACTCGGGAGGCTGAGGCAGGAGAATTGCCTCAACCCAGGCAGAGGAAGTTGCGGTGAGCCGAGATTGCACCATTGCACTCCAGCCTGAGTAACAAGAGCGAACGAAACTCCATCTCAAAAAAAAAAAAAAATAGTTAAAATATGAGCTAAATGAAATATAAGCTGGTCCAGTTTTTGTAAATCATTAATACTGTATTTTTACTATGACAGCCACGGCATAAAATTGAATGGATTTTCTATTTTTCTGAAGTCCCTCAAGGTGAAATTTCTGCCAGGGATCTAACAGTGCACCTCTTCCAGAGCTTGCCTTAAACTCGCCTTCTGTAGCAGGTGTATATTAAATGTTAGTTTACTTTTCTGTCTAAAAGGAGATGACATCATATTATCAGGGAGGCTTAACTGAATAAATCTCAATTCTGGGATGTTAGAGCTTTGCACAGATATTGTGAAAGTCAGAACTTGTTAGGCCAGGCTTGAGACCAGGAGTTCAAGGCTAGCCTTAGCAACATAGTGAGATCACATCTCTACAAAAAATAAAAAAAGTAGCTGGGTGTGATGGTGTGTGCCTGTGGCCCTAGCAACCTGGGAAGCTGAGGTGGGAAGATGGTTTGCACCCAGGAGGTTGAGGCTGCAGAAGATTAAAGAAAGAAATACTAAAAATATATGAGGCAAACAAAACCAAACACTGTTTGAGGGAACACTGTTTGGTTTTGTGGGGAGGGGAGTCCTCAGACATAAATGCCTTGCTAGTAGTTGTCCTATCTACAGGAAAAAAAGTTTTATTCTAAAATAATTAACTTTAATGCAAAATTCCAGTATTCCACTGAAGTAAACTGTAACATATGTTTTCTCTTACCTTTAGCAACATAACCTCCAAAAAGAATCCACATAGATGCAATCAGAGATCCAAAGGCCAACATGAAACCAATGAATAGCCAAATACGAGCACCTTGAAAGAAATAATATTTTACCAGAATTGCTCCTTATATGGCAGCTACAATTAACTTTCAAAAAGAAAACAAAACCCAAACAGAAAAAAAAGTGCAGCTGCCATTTCAGTCTAATGTAGAACAGGAGAAGATGTGTTCAATGTCTTTCATCACTGCACATGCTAGCCTTTTTCTTCTTGGATGGTCTGTATAGATTTTTTTTTTAATTATTATTTATTAGTCTGTTTAAGTGCATATACTTACTTTCCCCAGCTGCCTACACTGAGAAAACCTGTCCTCAACCTTCCTATAAAACATCTCATAAAGTATGTTTCACCACATTTAGAGGCTCATTCTCCATATGCTTTTACATGGAGAATGCTCCCACATTTTTCAAGTCTTCCAAGAGTACTTTCAAACAATAACACAGATCTACAGTAAAAAAATCATATTCGGTGATGTACGAATCTCAAAGCTACCATATTTCACTTTTAGGGAAGTCAGGCAACAAAATAAATTCAAATTTGCTGTGACTGGCACTTTAAGGTTGCATTAAAATTAGGTTAATAGAGAACAACCAGCTTTCAAATCACAGTAATATGCTTATGAAGATTTGCTATAAATAATAAATGGAGTCATGACTGCTTAAAATAAATTCTGATAGGGCCTCTTGATTTAATTAGCACAAATACATTTTAATAAAAACACTGCCTACAGCTCAATAAAGCACAGCAAATAGAATGTTATATATTAATTCCTAATTTCAAGCCCAAAACATAAAACAGTACATTCAAAATAGGCTGTTACTCACAGATATATTAAAACAAATAGGCAAGTGGTACTTCCATGTGAAATTCTCATTTTAAGGATTTAAGCATATGTGATAAGATGTTATTTGCACCTGTTTACCTGTTTGACCCAGACAACCTTCACTGTAACTATCACCTCGGACTTGTCCATTTGATACTGCATTAATCCTGTATCAATAAAATAAAACCAAGAAATCAGGGTCCATGACACCGATTACCAGAAGCAACAATCTACAGTTGCTCAAATTTAAGATTAGGCCTTAAAAGCTTTTTTTTTTTTTTTTTTGGAAGACATAGGGTCTCACTTTGTTGCCCAGGCTAGAATGCAGTGGCACGACCATGGCTTACTGTAGCCTTGAACTCCTGGGCTCAAGTGATCCTCCTACCTCAGCCTCCTGAGTCAGTTGGGATTACAGGTGTGTGCCACCACACCTGGCTAATTTTTAAACATTTTTTGTAGAGTCAAGGTCTCCTTATGTTGCTCAAGCTGATCTCAAACTCCTGGCCTCAAGCGTTCCTCCTTGCCTTGACCTCCCAAAGTGCCACTGCACCTGGCTCACAGGCCTTAAGGTCTTTAGTAAAAAGTTCATAGGAGGCCGAGGGTAGTGATTCAAACCTGTAACCCCAGCATTTGGGAGGCTGAGACCGGTGGATCACCTGAGTTTGGGAGTTTGAGACCAGCCTGGCCAGCCTGGCCAACATGGTGAAACCCCAACTCTACTAAAAATATGAAAAATTAAGCAGGCATGGTAGCAGATGCCTGTAATCCCAGCTACTTGGAAGGCTGAGGTGGGAGGATCACTTGGACACAGGAAGCGGACATTGCAGTGAGCTGAGATCGCACCACTGCATTCCAGCCTGGGCAATAAGAGCGAAACTCTGTCTCCAAACAAACAAACAAACAAAAAAAGAGTTCACACGACTGGTCTTTTCAACCAGATACTCCCTAGAGCACTGCTTATGGGCCCAGACTGGCAGAATCAGCATTACTTGGCAACCTATTTGAAAAGAAAATTCTCTGGCCCTAACCCAAACCTAGCAAAGCAGACACTCTGGCCACAGGGTCCATAAATCTGAGTTTTAACAAGTCTTTCAGGTGAGTCCGGATTTTTGAAATTTGGGAACGAAATTCTCAAAATTTTCTTTTGCTAAGATTGGAACAGGTAAAAAGATCATTTAGCTTAGTTCTATCTGATTTTCCATTTGTATATACCAGACGTAACAGGTAACCATGTATGGCAATGGCAGAGAGAGAAAATGGGCCCTAGATAATCCAAAAATTACTGAAAATCGGCTTTGGAATAAATTTTTTGTAATAATTTTGAACTAATGTAAAATGTTTGGAGAAATAATTACATTTCAAACAGCACAATAACTTTTTGCTCTGAAGACATGATCAAAAAGAGATTCACGTGTTAAAATCTCGTTTTTTCAATCCTTGATGCAGGATCTAAACATAAGAAGTGTTTTACTAACTTTATTCATAGAGTACCACTCTAAATTGAGATATCCTTGCTTTCTTTAGAAGCATCCCTTGAAACATTCTAAATGTCATGGGAAAATGCTCACAATCTATCAAGTTACAAGACATGATACATATGATATACATACCCATTTAGTTGTGTGTGTCTAAGACTAGAATGTAAGTTTCATGAGGAAGCTTCTGTGAAGCGCATGAGGAAGCCACTGTGAAGACGGTGGCCTCACAGAAGCCACTGTCTGTCTTGTTTCTCATTTTCATTCTCAGAGCCTAGCATAAGGCTACAGGCTTTGCACATAGTAGGTGCTCAATAAATGTGCTGAGGTAAGGCATGGTAGCTTGTGCCAGTAATCCCAGCACTTTGGAAGGCCAAGGTAGGAGGACTGCTTGAGCCCGGGACTTTGAGACCGGCCTGGGCAGCAACATAGTGAGACCTTGTCTCTATGAAAACAAAAAGGGGTTGAATATATGAATCCTAGTTTTTTTCTTTTTTTTTTTTTTGAATCCTAGTTTTTTTCACAGTAATATGATGTCTTAATTTTATTCACACAAATCTAAGTTTTAGAATGTTCAAAATAATTGTTTTCAGTGATCTCTATGCAGTACTATATTATTCTGTATATAAAATAAACACATTTAAAATACATTCATTTTTAAAAATAAAACACAAATAAATGTTTTTGGGTTACTGGTTCTCAGCTCTTGTTTTCCTTGCTGAGCCATCTGAATAAACTGCATAGCCCCCTGAGACACCACAATCCTGTCTTCACTATTAGGGACACTTAGGAAGGAATGATCTCTATTTGTTCTCTGCTATTACTATTTTTCTATATGTTCTTAAATTTATAGAAAAGTTACTAGTTAAATAATGTTTTTCCTGAAACATCTGCTACTTGTCAACATAATGCTCCATAACTGGGGGCTAGGTGTACTCCTGGTGTTGCAGTATAGCTGTTCTGGGCACTCTTGGTAGACAGAGCTGCCACCACTGCTTTCCCTGTCCTCATGAGGACAGCCTCTTCACCCAGCTCAGACTCCAGTATCGCACTTAGGGCTGCCTTCTTCCATCCCGCACCCTGCCGCCTGGCCCCTCCACCTCACCCTGCTCAGGACCTGAGTCCTATGCTGAGTTGCCCTCCTATGGGAGCCCCTTCCCACCCTGCCTGAGCCCGGCAGCCTGCTCTGGGCCACCACAGCTTGTCTTTCTATAGAGGATGCCTGTCATGCTTGACCCCACCTAACAGCTTTTTGACTGAATTTTTCAGAAAGAGGAGAGGAAGAAAAAGTTAAATATTACTTTTAAAACATAGATGTGTGTTAGAGGCAGAGAACAGAAGAAAACACTGGTAGAATATCTGTTGGAATGTTATAGTTTGGCGAGATTATTGGCAACTTCTTTTCTGCTTATTTGTATAGCCTACGTTTTCAAAACTAAAAAATACAGAATAATAGAACATTTATTAATATTTTTTAAAGCCACAAAATCCTAGAACTTTTATAATAGTAGGTGCTTTTTGACTCCTATCCATTTGAATTATAATAGTTTTTGTTTAAAATTATGGCCTGACACTATAATGAAAAGATGTAAGCTGAAGGCAAAAACATGATAAACATTTATAAAAACCTGAATTCAGCTCTGCTATAATTATGTAAATGTAACAGAATGCAAGTTTAGCAGGAAGCACTTTTGAATAATACATTCAATCTCATATACAGCTACACTTCCCCTCCAAAGTCAGACTTGCTACTGCTTCAAAGCGGAACAAAATAATTTTTTAAAGATGCAACAAAAGCAGGACAAAAATACAATCACAAAAAGAAAACTTAAATCTAAACAATGTTGAAATTTATGTGTCAGCTTACCAAAATCATTTTTTTTGAGATGGAGTCTCACTCTGTTGCCCAGGCTGGAGTGCAATGGTGTGATGTCAACTCACCGCAACCTCTGTCTCCTGGATTCAAGCGATTCGCCCCGCCTCAGCCTCCTAAGTAGCTGGGATTACAAGCACTGCCACCATGCCCAACTAATTTTTTGTATTTTTAGTAGAGGTAGAGTTTCGCCACATTGACCAGATTGGTCTTGAACTCCTGACCTCAGGTAATCTGCCTGCCTTGGCCTCCCAAAGTGCTAGGATTACAGGCGTGAACAACCGTGTCTGGCCTTTCTAAAAGAATTCTAACAGCATCATTATTACAGTAAAATAAATTGCCACAAAATGGGAAGAACTAGAAATAGCTGCGTACTGGCTGAACTTCAAAGAAAGACCACAGCCCTTTGCCATCAGTGGCTTCTGAAGTCAGACCTTTACTTCAGCAAATGAGTAACTACTGTGGCACTGAGCCCATGCTAGGCAGTCACACTGGCTGCCTTTAGCCACTTGCTTAACTCTGAAAATATAAGTTACTGTGTTTATACTCAAGTAACTAGCAAAATTTAAAAATGTGTGTGACTTTCAACTTGGATTGCCTGGAAGCCTGGAAGAGATGACTTTACAACCTAAATTAAAAGTCTACAGAAGGCTGGGCATGGTGGCTCATGCTTGTAATCTCAGTACTTTGGGAGGCCAAGGCAGGCAGGCCACCTGAGAGGTCAGGAGTTTGAGACCAGCCTGGCCAACATGGCAAAACCCTGGCCCTACTAAAAATATAAAAATTAGCTGGGCACAGTGGTAGGCATCTGTAATCCTAGTTACTTGGGAGGCTGAGGCAGGAAAATTGCTTGAAACCAGGAGGCAGAGGTTGTAGTGAGCTGAGATCATGCCTCTGTACTTCAGCATGGGCAAGTGAGGCTCCATCTCAAAAAGAAAAAAGAGGTCTACAGAAAGCTGATATACAATGGTAGAGGTCAGGACGAGGGCTATACAGGTGTGGTGGAAGTGCTGATTTAGAATGTTCTGGGATGACATTTTAAATCTTAATCTAGGTGCTGTTTACATATACATAGGTGTATACATAAGCAAAAATTTATTGAGATGTATATATGACTTGTGCACTTTATATAACTCACTAAATGCTTTTTGGTTTTTTTTTTTTTTGAGATGGGAGTGTCACTCTGTCTCCTGGACTAGGAGTACAGTGCCGCAATCTTGGCTCACTGTAATCTCCGTCTCTCAGATTTAACCTTGGCCTCCCGAGTAGCTGGGACCACAGGCACGCATCACCATGCCCAGCTGATTTTTATATTTTTTGTAGAGACAGGATTTCACCATGTTGGCCAGGCTGGTCTTGAACTCCTGACCTCAAGTGATCCGCCCACCTTGGCCTCCCAAAATGCTGGGATTACAGGTGTGAGCCACCATGCCTGACCAGAATACATTTTATATTAAAATTTTAAAATAATAAAGGTGGACAGGCACAGTGACTTACATCTGTTATCAGGGCACTTTGGAAGGTGAAGGTAGGAGAATCACTTGAGACCAGGAGTTCAAGAACAGCCTGGGCAACATGGTCAGACCCGTCTTCACACACACACAAAAAAACAAAAAAAACAAAAAAAACAAAAAAAACTCTTTAAAAAATAGTGGGGTGTGGTGGTGTGCACAAGTAGTCATAGCTATTGGGAGGCTGAGGATGGAGGGCTGCTTAGGCCCAGGAGTTTGGGACTGCAGTGAGTTATGATCATGTTATTATACACCAACCTGGGTGACAAAGTGAGACCCTACTTCTAAAACTTTTTTTTTTTAATTTAAAAAGAAAAGTCTGATTCTTTGGTAGTTCCTAGGTGTGATGATTGGGTGTTCATGCACATATGTGAGATGTGCCTCCCTCAAACCTTCTTTTACATCAGCGCCTTATCCATCTAACATGAAAAAAAAAGGCCCACAGAAAGTTGATCCCTAAAGGAAGCATTCATAATTAAGGAAACAAAAAAAGGCCCTTAGAAATTAAAACAAGAGAACTCGAATGCAAAAATATTCAGCAGATTGGAAAACAGAATAAAAAGACAGATGAGGGCCGGGCGAGGTGGCTCACGCCTGTAATCCCAGCACTTTGGAAGGGCGAGGTGGGCAGATCACGAGGTCAGGAGTTCAAGACCAGCCTGACCAACATGGTGAAACCCCATCTCTTAAAAAAAAATAATAATAAAATAGATTAAAAAAAAAAAAAAAAAAAGGCCAGGCGTGGTGGCTCAAGCTTGTAATCCTGGCACTTTGGGAGGCCGAGGTGGGTGGATCACCTGAGGTCAGGAGTTCAAGACCAGCCTGGCCATCAAGGTGAAACCCCGTCTTAAAAAATAAAAAAGACAGATGACAATTCTAAGAAAACATATCGGCTGGGTGTGGTAGCTCACGCCTATAATCCCAGCCCTTTGGGAGGCTGAGGTGGGTGGATCAGTTGAGGTCAGGAGTTTGAGACCAGCCTGACCAACATGGTGACACCCCGTCTCTATTAAAAATACAAAAACTAGCTGGGTGTGGTGGCGTGTGCCTGTAATCCCAGCTACTTGGGGAGGCTGAGGCAGGAGGATCCCTTGAGCCTGGGAGGTGGAGGTTACAGTGAGCAGAGATCGTGCTACTGTACTCCAGCCTGGGGCAAAACTTTGTCTCAAAAAATAAATAAACAAAAATAAACAGGCCGGGCGTGGTGGCTCACACCTGTCCCAGCACTTTGGGAGGCCAAGGCAGGTGGATCACTTGAGCCCAAAAGTTCAGGACAAGCCTAGTCAACATGGTGAGACTTCATCTTAATTAAAACAACAAAAAAAAAACTCTAGGAAAACAATACTAAGTAAGAAAGTCATAGCTCAAGTTTGAAGTAAACTATATAATGAATTTAAGAAACTGATAAGAATACAAGACTATTTTCAAAATACACTGATAAATTTGAGAAGTATAGTGTCATATTATTGAAACTTATACTACCTGGCACTGCTATGAATTTTGTTTACCGGTTTTTTGTTTTTTTATAGAGATGGGGTTTCACCATGTTGGTCAGGTTGGTCTGGAACTCCTGACCTCAGGTGATCCACCCACCTTGGCCTCCCAAAATGCTGGGATTACAGGCGTGAGCCACTGCACCTGGCCTTGTTTACTTGTTTAAAAAATTTTTTCATATGGACGCAGTGGCTGACGCCTGTAATCCCAGCACTTTGGGAGGCTGAGGCGGGTGGATCACAAGGTCAAGAGATCAAGACCATCCTGGTCAACATGGTGAAACCCCGTCTCTACTAAAAATACAAAGCATTAGCTGGGCGTGGTGGCGCGTGCCTGTAATCCCAGCTACTTAGGAGGCTGAGGCAGGAGAATTGCCTGAACCCAGGAGGCGGAGGTTGCGGTGAGCCGAGATCGCGCCATTGCACTCCAGCCTGGGTAACAAGAGCGAAACTCCGTCTCAAAAAAAAAAAAAAAAAAAAATTGTTGGAAGAATAATCCTTTAGACAAAATACACAGTTACTGACTTAACTGTAAAGCTATAAACCCTGGCAGTATAAAAATAAAAGGAGAGCTGAGAGAAGCTGGGAGGGAGTGGAGAGGGGGACAAGAAGAACAGAGGCCCGCGGCTTTTCTGTGTAAGGCCTTCTCCACCGTATGACTTCACAATCATTTCCAGCATGTTAATCTGAGAATACTGAGAATTTAAAATCTGTGCAACTGTATGTGAAACATTTTTATTTTGTGGCAAGCTATGTAAGTAATGCCAATTATGAAGACACTTACATTAGGAAGGCTATGGTTGCTATAACACCACAGGCATGGTATGAGTGGTTGAAATCCTCCATGGGGGAATAAATAACAGCTGCATCTATGATAATCCACCAGCCTGTAAAAAACTAAAACAAAGGTGACACCAATGAGAAATGAAAGCAATTTCATATCTCACTGGCTAAAAGCAAGCAAGGTATTTAAGTGAAGAGATCGCTTTTAATAAATTTCAAAAATGTTCTAGCTATTTCTCACATGTGATTTGCACATGGCCTAAAAGCTGAGTAAATATTAGGTACCCTTAAATCTGACAATTTATATTTACTGACTTTTCTCTAAGCCTACTTCAATCAGTATTTAATATTACCATAATAAAACCTTATAATATAATTTGGTGAACTAGAAACCAGTTATCTCCTGGAGGGGGAAAGGAAAAAAGTGACTCAGATTCCAACTGATGGAGGAAATGCCCTGTTGATATAAGCCTCCAGAAAAATATTCCCCCAAATCAAGAAAAACGCATCCAAATTAATATGGACAACAATGATTGCTGACAGAATTTACCTATCTTCTTGGTGTGAAGTAACAGGTCTAAGGTTCTGCTTTTAATGAATTCCAGTGCAGGCTAAAGATGCTTTCGGGTGTGATTTTGAATTCAATTTAAACACCAGATTAGATTACAATTTATCTAATTGAATTTGGCTCCAGATATTACCAAGGGCAAAGATACAACAAGAAAAATGACTCCAAAACTGCACAAATATTTTTTATCACCAGAAATTTACAATAAAATTATATTAACCAAATTCTGACAAGTAGCTTAGAAGGTTTTAAAAGTAACCCCCTTTCCTATCCTCACTCCCAACCCTGACTCAGCTCTGGGAACTGCCATCTTCTGGCACTTACTTAAAAAAAACGATTTTAGGCTAGTCAAATCACTTTTATGAGATTACAGACAGATCTATACTTGATTAATAATATTTTTAGTGGCTAGCATGAGTAAATACACCTTTCTTTTTACCTTCAGCTCAAGGTATTCAAGATATTTTCTTCATAGACTAAAAACTCAAAAGCTTTTTGAGTGCCGGGCGCGGTGGCTCAAGCCTGTAATCCCAGCACTTTGGGAGGCCAAGGCAGGTGGATCACGAGGTCAAGAGATCGAGACCATCCTGGTCAACATAGTGAAACCCCGTCTCTACTAGAAGTACAAAAAATTAGCTGGGCATGGTGGCGCGTGCCTGTAATCCCAGCTACTCAGGAGGCTGAGGCAGGAGAATTGCCTGAGCCCAGGAGGCAGAGGTTGCGGTGAGCCGAGATCGCGCCATTGCACTCCAGCCTGGGTAACGAGAGCGAAACTCCGTCTCAAAAAAAAAAAAAAAAAAAAGCTTTTTAGCCGGGTGTGAGGCCCTGTAATCTCAGCCCCTTGGGATGCCAAGGCCAGTGAATCATTTAAGACCAGGAGTAGGAAACTAGCCTGGGCAACATGGATAGACTCCCATCTCTACAAAAAACGAAAAAAAGAAAAAACTCAGCCCAGCGTGGTGGCCCTCGCCTGTGGTCCAGGATACTCTCAGGAGGATCACCTGAGCCCAGGAGGTTGAGGCTGCAATGAGCAGTGATTGCACTACTGCACCGCAGCCTGGAAGACAGAGTGAGACATCTCCAAAATAAATAAATCTTTTTTTAAAGAGACAGGGTCTGGCTATGTTGCCCAGGCTGGAGTGCAGCAACTATTCACAGGTGCGATCCCACTACTGATCAGCACGGGAATTTTGACCTGCTCCATTTCCGACCTGGGCCGGTTCACCCCTCCTTAGGCAACCTGGTGGTCCCCCGCTCCTGGGAGGTCACCATATTGATGCCGAAGTTAGTTCGGACACCCGATCGGTATAGCACACTACAGCCCAGAACTTCTGGGCTCAAGCGATCCTCCCACCTCAGCCTCCCGAGTAGCTGGGACTACAGGAACGTGCCATGGCACCTGGCATAAATAAATCTTAAAGCTTGAGAAAAAATATTTTGCCATTACTTTGAAAAAATATAGGATAATTATTTTTCATGGATAATAACTGTTAGAGACTAGGTGAAGAGGAAATACTTAAATTTAGATATTTATTTGTTCATTTACTTAAAATTTACTCTTTAGGGCTAGGTGTGGTGGCTCACGCCTGTAATCCCAGCACTTTGGGAGGCCGAGGCGGGTGGATCACGAGGTCAAGAGATCGAGACCATCCTGGTCAACATGGTGAAACCCCGTCTCTACTAAAAATGCAAAAAAGTAGCTGGGCATGGTGGCGCGTGCCTGTAATCCCAGCTACTCAGGAGGCTGAGGCAGGAGAATTGCCTGAACCCAGGAGGCGGAGGTTGCGGTGAGCCGAGATCGCGCCATTGCACTCCAGCCTGGGTAACAAGAGCGAAACTCCATCTCCCAAAAAAAAAAAAAAAAAAAAGAATTTTATTCTGTAAATTACTTCTACACAATGTATTTTAGTAAGTTTTTTCTTTTTTTTTTTTTGCTTTTTAAAAGAAAATTTAAAGGGGCCATGCTAATCTTCTCTGTATTGTTTCAATTTTAGTGTATGTGTTGCTGAAGCAAGCACGTTTTTTTTCCTTAATGAGATTGAGAAGAAAGTTAACTGGATTATGGAGAAATGCAATCCTATTGACTGGTTTTGACCTGATTGCTTCTTAAACACTTCCTTGTACCTTAAAATACTCATTAAAAGGAAATATAATCCGGCTGGGCACGGTGGCTCACGCTTGTAATCCCAGCACTTTGGGAGGCCAAGGCGGGTGGATCACGAGGTCAAGAGATCGAGACCAACCTGGTCAACATAGTGAAACCCCGTCTCTACTAAAAATACAAAATATTAGCTGGGCATGGTGGCGCACGCCTGTAATCCCAGCTATCCCAGGAGGCTGAAGCAGGAGAATTGCCTGAACCCAGGAGGTGGAGGTTGCGGTGAGCCGAGATGGCGCCATTGCACTCCAGCCTGGGTAATGAGCGAAAACTCCGTCTCAAAAAAAAAAAAAAAAAAAAAAGGAAATATAATCTATATAATAAATGTTATTATGCCATTTTCACTACACAGTTAAACTAACCCAACCACTCTATTAATCTAATTTTAAATCATAATTTAAACTATTCAAATGTAACTAGTAACTCTCCATAAGCAACAAAATAGCAATACTTATTAAAATAAGTACAGTGGTGAAAGATAAAATAAATAGTACATATTTTAAAACATCCTGCAGAATTCAAAACCCATAAACACAAATGAACCAAAAAATGATATACAAATTATCAATGACACTTACTAGTACACCAGCAGCAATGGAAGCAATAGTATTGCGCTTTTCCCCCCAATCAATGCATTCTGAGCATCTCAAGCCCTCTAGAAATCCAGACATTTTTTTCAGGTCACTTAAAAACAAACAAACAAAGAAACAGTTAAATAAAGTACTTCCATCTACTTGCTTCAAACCTGAAAAATAATTAATAGCCCAGGAATAATTAGATAAAAGTGAAGTTACAAATACTTTATTTTGGTTCCACATACTTCTGATTTAGTTTTTGATGAATTTCCACATTATAACTTTGGAAAGTAACATCTGGATTCATTTTGTATCTTTTTTTTTTTTTTTTTTTTTTGAGACGGAGTTTCACTCTCGTTACCCAGGCTGGAGTGCAATGGCGCGATCTCGGCTCACCGCAACCTCCGCCTCCTGGGTTCAAGCAATTCTCCTGCCTCAGCCTCCTGAGTAGCTGGGATTACAGGCACACGCCACCATGCCCAGTTAATTTTTTGTATTTTTAGTAGAGACGGGGTTTCACCATGTTGACCAGGATGGTCTCGATCTCTTGACCTCGTGATCCACCTGCCTCGGCCTCCCAAAGTGCTGGGATTACAGGCTTGAGCCACCGCGCCCGGCCTGTATCTTTTTTAATGTCAAAAATAGTTTGGGGACTGGTGCGGTTGCTCATGCCTGTAATCCTAGCACTTTGGGAGGCTGAGGTGGGTAGATCACCTGAGGTCAGGAGTTTGAGACCAGCATGGCCCACATGGCAAAACCCTGTCTCCACTAACATACAAAAATTAGCCCAGCGTGGTGGCACATGACTGTAATCCCAGCTACTCAGGAGGCTGAAGCAAGAGAATCGCTTGAACTCAGGAGGCAGAGGTCACAGTCAGCTGAGATCACGCCACTGCACTCCAGCCTGGGCGACAGAAGACTCCATCTCAAAAATAAATAAATAAAATGGTTCGGATATATTTAAGTAATATTAACAAAGGTGAGTCTCCAAATATTGAAAAAAATCTTAACTACTGGTTGACCTCCTCCTGAAATCTTGTCACATCCTATTATTTCTAAGTAGGTATTAAATTAGTTTAGATGGTAGTTTTAATACCAAGTATATGATTACTAATCCCCAGGAGCTCTTTTATCATTTTGATTCCAAACTAAGTTATTAAATGATTTTGATATTTACAGTCCAGAAGCACTAACATTAGTAGAGAGACAAGTGATAAACTTTGGCTCTGAAAGTATAGATTCAAATGAAAAATATTTCTCTTAGTAATTTACATATTTTATCACAGAACGTGTGTTTCTTCACACCTAGATTAAGAAATTAAACATTGCACTGCAGTTCTTACCTCTACCCACATCACTTCCTTTCACTTCATTCACTTCAACGTCTTTGCAAGCCTACCTTTTGGTGTTATTTCCACATAAAAAACATCTACTTTATTTAATATCCCTTTCTCTGATCCTAACTGATTCCAGCCAAAAGAAAGCACTTAATTGTGGTTAATATTAAGATTACAAAAATTCAACTGCTATTTATACCACAGCCGACCCAAACTGTCTTTACAAATTATATAAAACATTCTTGCAAGCCGAGCTGTACAGACCTAACTTGAGACACAGCCATATTACCTCTATTTCAGAGTATGAAAAAGCCTGAAATACGTATAACTTGCAAATAACAAAAAAAAAACCCAGACTCCTACAGCGAACCTGAGTCCCTTAAGTTACTTCGTTGCCAGCAATTGTTCAAATATATGACACCCCCCAAAAAGAGCAAAGACTTCAATTTTTCTCTTTTAAAAATTAAATATTAAAATATATGATTAGAGTCAGTGCTAAGATGCCTTTGGGACAAGTTCAATTTAGGAAATTCACTTATTTGATTCTTCCCTGGGAAGAACTGCAATCCAGTGTCATTTTCGGTCCATCCCAACGGCCCCGCCCCAATCCATTTTTCCTTGCACGAAGACTGACACGCTCAAGCCAGACCCCGCCCTCCAGACTGGGAATTTCAGGTCTCGAGGGACGCGGCTGGAAGACCGGGGAGCCACCTTCCGCTCAGCCACCCCTAGCTGAGGGAGCCGGCCGGGTCACGCGCCCTCTCGGGGCTTCGGCCTGTCCAGCTGTGAAGCGGGGGACCGGGCGATTTCCAGCGATCCTGGCCGTCCCGGGGTAGGGCGCAGTACCCCTTCCGTCCTGGCGGGATCTGGGCGCCGTCGCCTTCTCCCGGCGCCGCCGGACCCAGGAGAGACGCCCATGGGGGCACAGCCCGGGTCTGCGGCTTTCCGGAGGGTGGCGGCAAAGAGCCTGTGGGCACTAGTCCGTCGGACTTGCCCGGCTCCGAGGCCTCTCCAGCCTGCGGCCGCTCCTCTCCTACCCTCTCTCCCCGCCCAGCACTTACGTCCAGCCCCGTTGTGCAGTGGGTCCGGAGCCCGGTGTCGCGCCACGCCGGCCCGCCTCACTCTCCCGGTTTCAGCCAACAAAACAAAACAGCCACGGCCTCCGGACCCCGGATGTGGCAGTACCACCCCCGCGGCTCAGCCGCGCATGCGGATACAGGGCGGAGGGCGGGGCGCCGGGTCCCGAGGGAGCCACGCCCACCGCGCCAACGCTTCTGCGCATGCCCGGGCGTTGTGTGGTGGGGCTTTCTGCAGCTCTGAGTTCACTGCTGGAAGTCGGAAGTGCTAGTTTGGAGTACGCCCTTCGAGGATAAGCGTGAGAAGTTGCTCTGTGTTGAGCTTTCTAAAGGAAGCCATTCGTTGGTCTTTGTATCCGTCTTGAGTGAGGTGATGAGTGTTTTCTAGTGCTGGGGTCGGCCCCGCAGCCCTCTCACGTGTGAGTGGCAGGAAGAGTGCCGGGTCCCAAGTGGTGCAAAAGTATTGAGGTTTGCAGTCACACAGAACTACTCAGGGCTTTTAAGTCTCGTTTATTTTCCCCGTTCTTGTCCCCGCCCGGCCTCCCCGCAGCTCCACCTCCCGGAGAGGGGCGGATTCAGCTCCTCCAGGAGGCGAGGACTTCCCGGCTTGGCGAGGCTAGGGTGTCCCTTGAACCCCAGTCCCAGCGCGGTGACCTACTTATAGGACTTGGTCTTTCTTTGCCGTTTGTTTAAGGCAGGGTTTCTCAGCCGGGATACTACTGATGTTTTGGGCCAGCTAATTCTGTCTGGGCTAAGGGGGGGCTGTCCTGTGCCTCCTAGGATGTGTAACTGCATCCCCCGCCCCTACCCACAGAAAAGATGTTAAAATGATGGCCTGCCATCAAGTCTTATTTTCAAAATATGGGAAAAGAAGAGTGTTCTTGGTAGGGCGCAGTGGCTTACGCCTGTCATCCCAGCACTTTAGGAGGCGGAGGCGGGCGGATTACCAGGTCAGAAGTTTGAGACCAGCCTGACCAACGTGGTGAAACCCTGTCTCTACTAAAAATGCAAAAATATTAGCCGGGCGTGGTGGCATTGCAGCCTGGGTGACAGAGCGAGACTCTGTCTCAAAAAAAATAAAAATTAAAAAAAGTGTATTCTTCTCTAATTTGGAAATACATCAAGGATGAGAATTAGGAAAAAGATTACAGTACAACAGAATATATATGCTTTTTGTCCAGAACTGCTTGATGATCTTTGAAGAAGATATAAGGAGCCTTGAAAAGGATGAACTAACTGCACTTGAGTTATATGATACTATGTGTAAGTTGTGACAAAAATTTATACTGTGGAAAGATGACTCATTCTTTGGAAAGAAGACTGTTTTAGAACTAAAAAAAAAAGTCACCAGAAAAGGGCAACCAAATTAAACTGGATCTTCTTGATTTCTTTACAAGAACTGTAACTTTTTTTTTTTTTTTTTTGGAAGCAGAGTCTCACTCTGTCACCCAGGCCTGGAGTGCAGTGGTGCAATCTCGGCTAACTGCAACCTTCCTCCCTGGGTTCAGGCGATTCTTCTGCCTCTGCCTCCCGAGTAGCTGGGATTACAGGTGCCCACCACTATGCCCAGCTAATTTTTGTACTTTTTTTTTTTTTTGAGAGGGAGTCTCACTCAGTTGCCAGGCTGGAGTGTAGTGGGTGATCTCAGCTCACTATAACCTCCACCTCCCCAGTTCCAGCGATTTTTCCCACCTCAGCCTCCCGAGTAGCTGGGACTACAGGCACACATAACCACGCCCAGCTAATTTGTGTATTTTTAGTAGAGACAGGGTTTCACCATGTTGGCCAAAATGGTCTCAGATCTCCTAACCTCATGATCACCTGCCTTGGCCTCCCAAAGTGCTGGGATTACAGGCATAAGCCACTGCGCCCCGCCTAATTTTTGTACTTTTAGTAGAGACAAGGTTTTGCCATGTTGGCCAGGCTGGCCTCAAACTCCTGACCTCAGGTAATCTGCTTGCCTCGGCCTCCCAAAGTGCTGAGATTACAGGCGTGACCCACTGCGCCTGGCCGAACTGTAACTTTTATAATCCAGTTTTGGTTTTGCAAGTTCAAATTACATCTGTGCTTTAAAACCATTTTCCCTGAGAAGAAGTTTAACTTACAGTAACATTCAATGTGCTTCAGAATGTTTAAAAATGATGGATGTTTTAGACATAGATCACCTCTAAGACGTAGATGCAAAGGACCTGAATGGCAAATAGCTGGTCTACCCAAACAAGCCTGTGGATTAAAAAATGGATGGACATTTTTTTTTTTTTTTTTTTTGAGATGGAGTTTCGCCCTTGTTACCCAGGCTGGAGTGCAATGGCGCGATCTCGGCTCACCGCAACCTCCGCCTCCTGGGCTCAGGGAATTCTCCTGCCTCAGCCTCCTGAGTAGCTGGGATTACAGGCACGTGCCACCATGCCCAGCTAATTTTTTGCACTTTTAGTAGAGATGGGGTTTCACCATGTTGACCAGGATGGTCTCGATCTCTCGACCTCGTGATCCACCCGCCTCGGCCTCCCAAAGTGCTGGGATTACAGGCTTGAGCCACCGCGCCCGGCGCAAATGGATGGACATTTTTGGGGAGCTAGAAACGAATTCCTACCAGTCTAAACCCGCTGTTGCTAGTAAACTAAATCCTAAGTATTCCATGCTCAAATGTTTTTGTTGAGAGTATATTTAGATTGATGTCATCACATTGTACCGACACCAGGAATAATATGGGCTTGATAAGAACACAGCTGCAAGTCAAAGAGAATTTTACATTTGACTGTATTCAGTTTTACCACTACATAAAAGAAAAGAAAGATGTCCTAAAGGCTGCAGGAAGTTCAGAGAAGTATTATTGGAAAAGGAAACAGGAAGAGTAAAAATATCCTACTGTATCATGAGACAGAAACTTGCCATTGTTACTTTTTATTAAATGCAATATCTATTTAGTTAATCTCATTTTGTATTCTCCTTTAAAAAGTCTTATTTTAAAGTCTTATTTTAAAGCAACCTCTATCTCCTGGGTTCAGGCAATTCTCCTGCCTCAGCCTTTCTAAAAAAATACCAAAAAGAGCATCAATATAATGAAGAATTTACATCAACTAATGGGCAAAACAGCCAGCTAATATTAAATGGCAGTATTAAACTCACATATATTATTATTAATTCTAAATTTAAATTGACTAAATCCTCCAATCCAAAGACAGACAGGCAATTTGAATAAAAAACTAAAACCCAGCCGGGCGCGGTGGCTCAAGCCTGTAATCCCAGCACTTTGGGAGGCCGAGGCGGGTGGATCACGAGGTCAAGAGATCGAGACCATCCTGGTCAACATGGTGAAACCCCGTCTCTATTAAAAATACAAAAAATTAGCTGGGCATGGTGGCACGTGCCTGTAATCCCAGCTACTCAGGAGGCTGAGGCAGGAGAATTGCTTGAACTCAGGAGGCGGAGGTTGCGGTGAGCCGAGATCGCGCCATTGCACTCCAGCCTGGGTAACAAGAGCGAAACTCCGTCTCAAAAAAAAAAAAAAAAAAAAAAAAAAAAACTAAAACCCATCAGTATGCTGCATCCAGACCCATCTCACATTCAAGGATACACAAAGACTCAAAACAAGGGATGGAGAAGGATTTACCAACCAAACAGAGAGCTAAAATAAATAAATAAATAAGCAGAAGTTACAATTAAGCAACAAAGATCAAAAGAAGCAAAGAAGGACGTTATATAATGAGAAAAGGATCAATGCAACAACAAGAAGAGCTAAAGATCCTAAATATATACGCACCCAATACAGGAATACCCAGACATACAAGACTTATAAAGAGACTTAGACTCCCACATAATAATAGTGGGAGACTTCAACATTAATGTTAGACAGATCAATGAGACAGAAAATTAACAATGATATCCAGGACTTGAACTCAGATCTGGAACAAGTAAATGTAATTAACATTTATAGCCGGGCGCGGTGGCTCAAGCCTGTAATCCCAGCACTTTGGGAGGCTGAGGCGGGTGGATCACAAGGTCAAGAGATCGAGACCATCCTGGTCAACATGGTGAAACCCCGTCTCTACTAAAGGTGCAAAAAAATTAGCTGGGCATGGTTGTGCGTGCCTGTAATCCCAGCTACTCCGGAGGCTGAGGCAGGAGAATTGCCTGAACCCAGAAGGCAGAGGTTGCGGTGAGCTGAGATCGTGCCATTGCACTCCAGCCTGGGTAACAAGAGCGAAACTCCGTTTCAATTTAT